ATCGTCAAACAAATTATCAATATGAAAAAAAAGTTGAAAAATCTAAATACTAAAAAAAATGAAAACTGTAATTTCGAATTCGATTTTATTGTTTTTTTTTTTTCAATTTTCCGATTTCTCATTTATCCAATTTTTCAATTTGTCTTTTCTTGGATTTTAAGTTTTTTTACTTTTAGCAAGCATTAGCCCCACCCACCCAGCCTTTATTTTCTTAGAAGAATGAGTCATCTGCCAAAATCAGTCTCTTCTTGACAAGTACTAGCCCCGCCCACCCACCCTTTATTTTCTTAGAAGAGTGGGTCATCTGCCAAAATCAGTCTTATCTTGACAAGTACTAGCCCCGCCCACCCACCCTTATTTTCTTAGAGGGTATGTCATTTGCAAAAATCAGTCTCATACTTGCCAAGATAAGATTGATTTTGGCAGATGACCTATTCCTCTAAGAAAATATAGGGTGGGTGGGCGGAGCTAGTACCTTTTCTTAGAAGAGTAGGTCATACTCGATTTTTGCTGATTTGTACCTTCACTTTATATGATTTTGAAAAATATCGAGAAAATAGATGTTTATTTTTAAAAATTTCCGATTTTTGATTTTTTGTCAGCCAGTTTTTGGAAGCGAGTAAAAAGTAATTTTGATCAGGGATTGCCATGTTTACTGTAACTTTAAAACATCTGAAAATTTTGTTTCTAATCTTCAATTTTTGGCTTTGTCGATTTTTGAAAATTTCGATTCGAATAAATTTGTTCTTTTAGTTAAAAAATCGAAAAATGATAAATCGTGAAAAGGAAAAATTTTAACTTGAGAACTCGAAAAATTAAAAATCAAAAAATTTCAGAATTGTAAAGTTAAAATTTGAAAAATCAAAATATTGGAACTAAAAACTGTTAAATCGTCAAACAAATTATCAATATGAAAAAAAAGTAGAAAAATCTAAATACTAAAAAAAATGAAAACTGGAATTTCGAATTCGATTTTATTGTTTTTTTTTTCAATTTTCCGATTTCTCATTTATCCAATTTTTCAATTTGTCTTTTTTGATTTTAAGTTTTTTTACTTTTAGCAAGCATTAGCCCCACTCACCCAGCCTTTATTTTTTTAGAAGAATGAGTCATCTGCCAAAATCAGTCTCATCTTGACAAGTACTAGCCCCGCCCACCCACCCTTTATTTTCTTACAAGAGTGTGTCATCTGCCAAAATCAGTCTTATCTTGACAAGTACTAGCCCCGCCCACCCACCCCTATTTTCTTAGAGGATATGTCATTTGCAAAAATCAATCTCATACTTGCCATGATAAGATTGATTTTGGCAGATGACCTACTCCTCTAAGAAAATAAAGGGTGGGTGGGCGGGGCTACTACCTTTTCTTAGAAGAGTAGGTCATATTCGATTTTTGCTGATTTGTACGTTCACTTTATATAATTTTGAAAAATATCGAGAAAATAGATGTTTATTTTTATAAATTTTTGGATTTTTGATTTTTTGTCAGCGAGTTTTTGGAAGGGAGTAAAAAGTAATTTTGATCAGCGATTGCCATGTTTACCGTAACTTTAAAACATCTGAAAATTTTGTTTCTAATTTTCAATTTTTGGGTTTTTCGATTTTTCAAAATTTCGATGCGAATAAATTTGTTCTTTTATTTTATATATATATATATATATATATAATCTGTTACCCTCTTTTACCCATTGGGTGTAGAGGGGGGAGACGCACCGAGCCGCTCAGATAGGTGTGGCGATCTTGGCCACCCATCCACAAAGTGACTGCGGACAGCGTTGCTTCATGAGCATTATCGCTGTGCCGCGCTAGGGGCTATCTGAGCCGTACTGCTCCCGTTCTTTTAGTTAAAAAATCGAAAAATGACAAATCCTGAAAAGGAAAAATTTTAACTTGAGAACTTGAAAAATTAAAAATCAAAAAATTCCAAAATTGTAAACTGGAATTAAAAACTGCAAAATTGTCAAACAAATTATCAAATGAAATATTCAAAAGTTGAAAAAAACTAAAAAAAAATTAATGACAACTGGAATTACGAATTCGATTTTATAAGATTTGTTTTTTTTTTAATAAATTTTTCGATATTTCAGCTTTTAATTTTCCGATTAAACAGTTGTACAATTTTCCCATTTCTCATTTATCCAATTTTTCAATTTGTCATTTTTTGATTTTTAAAGTTTTTTTATTTTCTAACAAGTACTAGCCACACCCACCCAGCCTTTATTTTCTTAGAAGAATAAGTCATTTGCCAAAATCAGTCTCGTCTTGACAAGTACTAGCCCCGCCCACCCACCCTTATTTTCTTAGAGGATATGTCATCTGCCAAAATAAGTCTCATCTTGACAAGTACTAGCCCCGCCCTCCCACCCTTATTTTCTTAGAGAATATGTCATTTGCAAAAATTAGTCTCATACTTGCCGAGATAAGATTGATTTCGGCCATTGACCAAAAACAGATGATAAAAAAATTGACTTCTAATTGACTATTTAAAAATCTTAATCCGGGACCATACACACACTGTTTTTCTATTCAACTCGTCCGAATCTACATCTCAGAATTGTTTGTATTTTTTAGGCAACTTCAGGCAAAAGTTGAAATTTTCAGTACGTATGAAATTTTTGACTTTTCGCAAACAACTTCAAAAATTACCAAAACGGATGATTTTGTTGATTTCGATCTCCAGAAGTTGTTTTCAGCTTTATTTTTTCGAAAATATCCACCGTTTTTCCAGAACCACCAAAATGAAATATTGAAATTTTTGAGATTTTTAAAAATTTGACTTTAAAACGAATATTTTGAAAATCTTGATACAGGGCCATCAACACGCTATTTTTCAATTCAGCTCGCCAAAATCTATACCCGAATTTTTTGTAAATTTAACAAAATCTCAATTTTTCAATGAATTGAAATTTTTGACTTTTCCCGAGCAACTTGGAAAATCACTAAAACAGATTAAATACTTATTCTGTTAATTTCGATCTCCAGAATTTATTTTCGATTTCATTTCTACGAAAAATATCGCGTGTTTTTCCACAACTGCCAAAATAAGATGTGATAATTTTTGAACTATTAAAAAAATTGACTTCTAACTGACTATTTCAAAAATCTTAATCCGGGACCATATACACACTGTTTTTCTATTCAACTCGTCCGAATCTACATCTCAGAATTGTTTGTATTTTTTAGGCAACTTCAGGCAAAAGTTGAAATTTTCAGTACGTATGAAATTTTTGACTTTTCGCAAACAACTTCAAAAATTACCAAAACGGATGATTTTGTTGATTTCGATCTCCAGAAGTTGTTTTCAGCTTTATTTTTTCGAAAATATCCACCGTTTTTCCAGAACCACCAAAATGAAATATTGAAATTTTTGAGATTTTTAAAAATTTGACTTTAAAACGAATATTTTGAAAATCTTGATACAGGGCCATCAACACGCTGTTTTTCAATTCAATTCGCCAAAATCTGTATCCAAATTTTTTCTAATTTTAGCAAAATCTCAATTTGTCAATGAATTGAAATTTTTGACTTTTCCCGAGCAACTTCGAAAATCACTAAAACAGATTAAATACTTATTCTGTTATTTTCGATCTTCAGAAATTATTTTCGATTTCATTTCTTAGAAAAATATCGCGTGTTTTTCCACAATTGCCAAAATAAGATGTGATAATTTTTGAACTATTAAAAAAATTGACTTCTAACTGACTATTTCAAAAATTTTAATCCGGGACCACAAACACACTATTTTTCTATTCAACTCGTCTGAATTTACATCTCAGAATTGTTTGTATTTTTTAGGCAACTTCAGGCAAAAGTTGAAATTTTCTGTACGTATGAAATTTTTGACTTTTCGCAAACAACTTTAAAAATTACCAAAACGGATTATTTTGTTGATTTCGATCTCGACAATTAAAAAATTTGCTTTAAACCTAAGATTTCGGAAATCTTGATCCGGGACCACATGAAATTTTCCAAAATGTTGACACAAGAGGCCCCCGAGATTTTTTCAAACTACTTCAAAAACCAGGCACAATTTTATGTACTTTTAAATAAAGTAAAATTTTGGGCTTTCAGGCCTCCGACAAAATTTGATTGCTGCAGATATTTGACACTTTATTTGACAGTTCTATGATCATATCTGTCAAACTGAACAAAGAACGCGATTTCAAAGGTTGCTGGACGACTTTTTTCTGGATCATTTTTGCATCAAGAATTTAGATTGTCGTAAACAAAGAGTTATGTATTTAAAATATCACATGCCAGAATTTTAAGTAAATTATTAAATGACCCGACCCTGCGATAACCCACAAAATTAATCAATTCACCCATTAATTTTTTTTATACTCAAATTAAAAGGATTTATTATATTATATTTATTGTTGCGCAACTGCTTCCAAACGTCAAGTAGTGTATGGGATTACGTCATCAAAGTTTCGAAAGGGATGAATCCTATTTCCAATAGGTATAACCGTATATCAAATAAAACTTGTTTCTTACACAAAAAAGCACATCTGTCAATGCTATTTACTAGAGAAAATAGGGGTTTTATTATCGAAAAACTCGTCTAGCAGGCATTGCAGGCATTTAGTGTTAAAAAATTATGTTGGCAACCCGTTCCTTGTTCGGTTTGGCAGTTACGACCAAAAAAACTGTCAAATGGCTGCAACATTATTATTTTAAAAATAAATTTCATAGCACACTAGGCGACTTTTTTGGGTCATATTGGTACTTTCAACTTGAGTTGAGTTGAAAACCCTTAATCTAGCGTCAAGTCAGTGCAAAAATCGGTCTTTGGTATTTTAAATTCCCGCTATTTTCGGCATTATAGCTCGAAAAGCAATGTCCAATGGACGTTTCGCCACAATAAAATCTAAGTCCGAAAACATAATATTTCCACTTCGCACACCACAAGTATCATCAAATCACTGCGAAATCAATTTCCCAACCTCGTAAAACCCGCCACAAACTCTTCACCCGGTCCGCCCCTGCACCCTCCCAACTCACCTGTCGTGGTCACTGGGGCGACCGTGCCGACCCTGGCGACCCTGGCTCTCCCTCCGCGCCCCCAGCAAGCCACCAGCAGCAGTCCCACCAACAAATCACGCCTCATCGTGCCGGCACCTCGGGAAACTCACTCACTTTTCCACCGACATTTCCCGACAACTCAATTTTCCTGACTGGTCATCGCGACATCACCGGAAAAACGACAGTTAGCACAAAGTCGCGGCCTTCTCGACGCCGCTTCGCAAAAGTCCATTCACAGAAACGAAGTTCGCTTGATCGCCGAAGACGCTCGCTTGCTTCGCACCGACACCTTTCGCACTGAATACTGAAAACAAAAATAACAACAATCCAAACCCGTTTGAGCAGAATCCGCACCTGGAGGGGACGGCTGCACGTAAGATCGGGCCTCTCTGTCGGGATTGCGCGACGGCGATTGGCGTCCTTGTCGGCACGTGGGTCGGAAATTGAACGGAGCGCGGGCGACGGTGCTGCCACCGCGCGGGGCTCGAAGAAGGTGGGTAAAGGTGGGCGTCCACGAGTGCGGTGTTGGGGTAGGCGACAGGGCCGGATTGCGCAAGGGTTTATTAGGGGTTATTTTTGGTTGCACGTACACAATCGCATTTATGTGTCATTAATTAAAAGATAAGAGTAAAGGAAACGGAAGCTGATTATCCAGGTAATTGTAAGTAGAAACAACAAATTAAAAAACATCCAATAAACTGATTTTTTATTTCTTCTCGAAAATGAAACAATTTCATTTTGTTAAAACACTATAAGACCATTTATTTGTTTTATAATGCATTTATATTTTAAGATGCTGTCATTTTTTATTTTAATTGTAATTATTTGTGTATTTACTTAAACCGTTAACACACTTGTGTCTATTCATTCTCTACAAAAAATTAGTGACGAATGTTGTCTTCCGTTTGTTGACACTTTTATTAGACAAATTCTCTCAAAAACTACTGGACTGATTAAAACATGTTTTAAGTTTCTTGTTCTGAAAAGACGACAACGTATGTTAAGAAAAAAGGCAAAATATAAACCCCGCCCACCCGCCCTATTTCAATTCTGATGATTTTTTTTTTGATTCGTCGTAAGCCGAGGGGCGCAGCTTAAGTGCAAAATCGCTATTATTTCTCTACAAAAAATTATCATGTATGACATGTTTCTGAGTATCTTATTATTCAAAGAATACTACGTGTATTAAGAAAAAATTAAAGCCAAATCTAATCTAATCTAAGTAGTGATAAAGTTGTAAAATCTATATTTCCTTACAAGAATTTGCCCTTTTAAACGTGTTTTAAGTTTCTAAGAATAAAAAAAAATCATCACAATTGAGATAGGGTGGGTGGGCGGGGTTTATATTTTAGCTTTTTTTTTCTTAATATACATAGTATTCTTTGAACAACACGATACTCAAAAACATGCTTTTAATTTCTTGTAAAGAAATAATAATTTGCAGATAAATGTCGCCCCCTTGGTTCACGGCGAATAAAAAAAATCATCACAATTGAGATAGGGCGGGTGGGCGGGTTTACATGTTGCCTTTTTGTTTTAATATGTGTAGACTTCTTTTCACAACATGAAACTTATGGAAAATTTGTATGACTCAGAAAATATCGACTTTGCAAGTGAAATATTTTCTTAAGTAATGGTGTTATACAAAGAAAACTTTAATGTATTAATTAAAAAAGAAAACCAAAAGAGAAGCCCCACCCATTCGTCTCGTTCTCAATCGTGATGAATTTTTCATTCGTTGTAAGATCGAGGGGCGGGGCTTAATTGCAAGATCGATATTTGTCTACAAGAACATTTCACACATGTTTTAGTTTCTTGTTCTGAAAAGACTACATAGTTGTATTAAGAAAAAGGCAAAATATAAGCCCCGCCCACCCGCCCTATCCCTATTCTGATGATTTTTTTTATTGGTCGTAAGTCGAGGGCGAAGCTTAACTGCAAAATTCTTATTTCTCTACGAGAAATTAAAAACATGTTTTTGAGTATCGTCTTATCCGAAGAATATTATGTATATTAAGAAAAAAATAAAGCCGGAGATTAGACCCCACCCATACCCGCCCCGATCTCAATTCTTAATAATTGTGATGAATTTTTCATTCGTTCTCACATTGAGGGGTGGAGCGTAATTGCAAAATCCCTATTTGTCTACAAGAATTTACCATTTTACAAATGTTTTCAGTTTCTTGTTCTGGATATACAACTACGTATATCAAGAAAAAAGGTAAAATATAAGCCCCGCCCACCCGCCCTATCTTAATTGTGATGATTTTTTTTTAATCGTGGAAAGCCAAAGAAGCGGAATTTAATTGCAAAATTCTTATTATTACTCTACAAGAAATTAAGAAAAAATTAAAGCCAAATATTAAGCCACGCCCACAATGAACTTTTCATTCGTTGGCAGACCTAGAGGAGGAGCCTAATTGCAAAAACTATTTTTTCTTACAAAAATTTACCATTTTAAACGAGTTTTAAATTTCTAAGAATAAAAAAATCATCAGAATTGAGATAGGGTGGGCGGGTGGGGCTTATATTTTACTTTTTTTTGTTAATATTGGTAGTCATATTTTCACAACAAAAATTTAACATAGATGACTACGTGTATTAAGAAAAAAGGCATAATATAAGCCCCGCCCACCCACCCTATCTCAATCTGGCTTGAATTTTTAATATATAGTGTATTTTTTTGAACAACACGATGCTCAAAAATATGTCTTACATGGTAATTTCTGATAGAGAAATAAAGATTTTGCAATTAAGCTCCGCCCTCTTGGCTCACGACGAATAAAAAAAATCATTACAAACGAGACAGGGCGGGTGGGTGGGGCTTATATTTTGCCTTACTCTTCTTAATATAGGTAGTCATCTTTTCCCGACAAAAATTTAAAACAGATGACTACGTATATTAAGAAAGCAAGGCAAAATGTAGCCCCGCCCACCCTCCCTATCACAATTGTGATGTTTTTTTTAATTCTTTGTGAGACAAGGGGGCGGAGCTTAACTGCAAAATCCTTATTTCTCTACGAGAAATTAAAAACATGTTTTTGAGTATCGTCTTGTCCAAAGAATATTATGTATATTAAGAAAAAAATAAACCGGAAATTAATTGTGATGAATTTTTCATTCGTTGTCAGATCGAGGGGCGGAGCGTAATTGCAAATCCGTAGTTGTCTACAAGAATTTACCATTTTACAAATGTTTTTAGTTTCTTGTTCGGGAAAGACAACTACGTATATCAAGAAAAAAAGAAAATATAAGCCCCGCCCACCAGCCCTATCTCAATTGTGATGATTTTTTTTTCATCGTCGAAAGCCAAAGAATTGCAAAATGCTTATTATTGCTCTACAAGAAATTAAGAAAAAATTAAAGCCAAAGAATAAGCCCCACCCATACCTGTTCTGATGTAAATAGTAATGAAGTTTTCATTCGTTGGCAGACCTAGAGGCGGAGCCTAATTGAAAAAACCATTTTTCCTCAAAAAAATCATCAGAATTGAGATATGGCCGGTGGGCGGGGGTTATATTTGGCTTTTTTTCTTGATATACGTTGTCATCTTTTCAAAACAAAAATTTAAAACAAATGACTACATATATTAAGAGAAAAGGCACAATATAAGCCCCGCCCACCCGCCCTATCTCAATCTGGCTAGAATTTTTAATATAGTGTATTTTTTTGAACAACACGATGCTAAAAAACATGTCTTACATGGTAATCTAAAAGAGAAATAAGGATTTTGCAATTAAGCTCCGCCCTCTTGGCTCACGACGAATAAAAAAAATCATTACAATTGAGACAGGGTGGGTGGGTGGGGCTTATATTTTGCCTTACTCTTCTTAATATACGTAGTCATCTTTTCACAACAAAAATTTAAAACAGATGACTACGTATATTAAGAAAACAAGGCAAAATGTATCCCCGCCCACCCTCCCTATCTTAATTGTGATGATTTTTTGTATTCGTTGTGAGACAAGGGGGCGGAGCTTAATTACAAAATTTGCCATTTTAAACGAGTTTTAAGTTTCTATGAATAAAAAAACCATCACAATTGAGATAGGGCGGGTGGGCGGGGGTTATATTTGGCTTTTTTCCTTAATATACGTTGTCATCTTTTCAAGACAAAAATTTAAAAGAAATGACTACCGATATTTAGAAAAAAGGCACAATATCAGCCCCGCCCACCCACCCTATCTCAATATGGCTTGAATTTTTAATATACAGTAAATTTTTTTGAACAACACGATGCTCAAAAGCATGTCTTACATGGTAATTTCTGATAGAGAAATAAGGATTTTGCAATTAAGCTCCGCCCTCTTTGCTCACGACGAATAAAAAAAATCATTACAAATGAGACAGGGCGGGTGGGTGTGGCTTATATTTTGCCTTACTTTTCTTAATATACGTAGTCATCTTTTCACGACAAAAATTTAAAACAGATGACCACGTACATTAAGAAAACAAGACAAAATGTAGCCCCGCCCACCCTCCCTACCTCAATTGTGATGATTTTTTTTATTCGTTGTGAGGCAAGAGGGCGGAGCTTAACTGCAAAATCCTTATTTCTCTACGAGGAATTAAAAACATGTTTTTGAATATCCAGTTCAAAGAATACTATGTATATTAAGAAATAAATAAGGCCGGAGATTAGACCCCACCCATACCCGCCCCGGTCTCAATTATCAATTGTGATGAATTTTTCATTCGTTGTCAGATAGAGGGGCGGGGTCTAATTTGTCTACAAGAACATTTTAAACATGTTTTAAGTTTCTTGTTCTAAAAAGACAACTACGTATATTAAAAAAAAAATCAAATATAAGCCCCGCCCACCCACCCTATCTCAATTGTGATGATTTTTTTAATAATCGTCGAGAGTCAAAGGAGTGGAATTTAAATCCAAAATTCTTATTATTTCCCTCTCTACAAAAAATTACCATGTATGGCATATTTTTGAGTATCGTGTTATTAAAAGAATAATATACAGTATGTCCCCGGATTCAACAAGAGGAAAAAAAACTGTATTTTCTATTTTACAAAAAAATGACATAGGAATAACATTTTTGCTTAATTGAAAACGAATAAATCTGCAATTAAAACTTCAGTATTCCTGGTCTGTACTCTTACTTTATATGTTGTTTTTTTTTTTCTTAATATACATAGTATTCTTTGAACAACACGATATTCGAGCATGTTTTTAATTTCTTGTAAAGAAATAAGTATTTTGCAGTTAAGCTCCGCCCCCTTGGTTCACGGCGAATAAAAAAATCATCACAATTGAGATAGGGCGGGTGGGAGGGTTAACATTTTGTCTGTTTGTTTTAATATGTGTAGACTTCTTTTCACCATATGAAACTTAAAACATGTTTAAAATGGAAAATTTGTAGACGGAAATAGGGATTTTGCAATAATTAGGCTCCGCCCCATCAGTTTTATCTGTAGGTACTAGCCCCGCCCACCCACCCTCTCTTTTCTTACGCAGTTTTAAAATTCAAATGTCAACTTTGATGAGAATTAGCAGGGTGACAACCTAAGAAAAGTGAAATTACAGGTAATACGTTACCAACATAATTTTTTTCCTGTTGCGGCGACTTTAGTACTAGTAATATTGGCTTAATGTGGTTTTATAAACTTGTGCTACACACAAAAGTTACTATATTTTAACAAAAAGCAACGGGACCACCGTTTCAAGTTGGCAGTAATTACAACTTTGACAGTAATGAGGTTACGTACAAGAATAAAAAAAAACTACATACATTTGTTTAAAAATAAATATATTTTAAAGATTCCAGAAATCGTAGCAGAAAAATCACAAAAAAAAATAGTAACCAGTAGTGAAAGATAATTATCTTTCACTATTGGTTACTATTTTTTTTAATTCATTATTCACAACAGCACTAAAAATTGATATATTTTTAATCAAACATACTTTGCACAGTCTTAAACCATAAATGGTGTTGTTAATAATAAATTAAAAAAAATAGTAACCAGTAGTGTGCAAAGTATGTTTGATTAAAAATTGATATTTTTTTAATCAAACATACTTCGCACGTGAAAGACTCTCGTAATCCATAAATATTCTTGTTCAAATCGAGTTTTCGTTCAAACATAGTTACCCCAGGATGGTTTTCACCTACAAACGCATTATAAGACACCCTTTTCTCAACAACCTCGCGACTTACGTAGGAGATGCCCCACAGCCCCTTTCGTTCCAAAGCAGCCAACTTTTCGCCTAAATTTCCTTTTGCGTGACGAATTTGTGCGACGTACTCGTCCCTTCTAGCGCCGTCCAAGTACTGCAACAACACCGCTGCAAACTCGGGTTTGTTGTTATCCATGCATCTCCTAAACGCGTTATCCAAATTTAGCGAAAACAAAACAGGGCACGACTGCAACAACAAATCAGTATTTTAAATTGTTAAACGCTTCACATATATACCTGAATTGTTAAAAAAACGGTGAGGAGTACATCATCATGGTTTGAACTGCTTAAGTGAGCAAAAGAATGATCAACCAACTTTTGCCAACCCTTTACGTAGAAGTTCTCATTTTGGTAGCTACCTTTTTTTAAGAAATTGAGGTAGGTTTTTAATTCGACGAACTAAAAATTCACGCGCTGACAAATGAACGTCGTTAACAACGTTACTCACCAAAGAGAACGCGACTGCGTTGTTCACAATGAACTCCCAAACTTTGACGTCGTCGATCGAGAAGGTCATACATATTAACGCCATAGTTTTTATCCCTAATATACTCCCAGATCTTCGTACCAAGCGATTAAGCAACTCTTTCTTGTTGTACTCATGCAGAGCCGCAACATCCAAACTGATGCCCAAATACTCCAAATTACTGACCACCGTGAGTTTATCAATGAAATTTCTGCAAAAAACTATCAAGCGTGTCCAGTTTTAGTCCACGAACTCACATAAATTCGTCATATGTGCATTCCGTTAAGTTAACGATCGTATCGCTGTCGGAAATCATGGCTAACACTTTCAAAGCTCGCGCCTTGCAGTGAACGCTCAACTGCTCCTCAGTTTCCGTTCCTGTGCCCAAATTATAAAGTCGCACTTGCCAGTATTTCAGGTCATCGTTGCAGCAAATATACGCAATTCTGTTGAAAGTTTCGAAACTTGAAATTTAAAAAATTTAATAAAAGTACAAACCTGTCCAAGTTCTCGTCGTCGGTGCAAGCTCCGTTCGTGTATACTATGGAAGAATCAAAATTTAATGGCGAACTTAAAATGTCTTCATGACCCAACGAACTATGGATTAATTCGTGCCGAATTTTTTTTATATCCAAGTTAAACAAAGCGGCTAAAGCCTCAGTTGCCGTGTGTATTTCCGGGCAACCGAACTCCAAACCGTTGTTCAAAATTCGTTCGTCCAGGAACAGGGCCAAAATCAGTTCTTTCGGGTCAGAGAGTAAATTTATATACTTAGGTTCGGCGAGTTTGTAAGTGTGCAAAATGTGCATGCCGCAGCAGGCGTAGTATTTCTTCGTCACCTAAAAACCGGTGGATTGAAAATATATACCGGGCTCACATTTTGGTGGAATTACGATTTTAAAATTGGTTCTTTTTTAGTAATAAAACTTTTAGTTAGTATTTCTCTCAACCATGACTGTTTAATTATCATTTCTGTTAGAATGTAGAATCAGCAAAAATCGAGTATTTGCAAAAATAAGACTTATTTTGACAAATGACCAACTCTTCTAAGGTGTTAGCCCCGCTCACCCACCCTTTATTTTCTTAGAAGAGTTGGTCATCTGCCAAAATCAATCTTATCATGGCAAGTATGAGACTGATTTTTGCAAATGACATATCCTGTAGGAAAATAAAGGTGGGTGGGCGGTACTAGTACTTGTCAAGATAAGACTGATTTTGGCAGATGACCCACTCTTCTAAAAAAATAAAGGCTGAGTGGGTGTGGCTAGTACTTGCTAAAAATAAAAAAACTTAAAAATCAAAAAATGACAAATTGAAAAATTGGATAAATGAGAAATCGGAAAATTGTACAACTGTTTAATCGGAAAATCAAAAACTGAAATATCGAAAAATGGAAAAAAAAAACTTTCGAATTTGTAATTCCAGTTGTAATTTTTTTTTATTTTTTTTCAATTTTTGAATATTTCATTTGATAATTTGTTTGACAATTTTGCAGTTTTTGCCAAATAACTTATCCTCTAAGAAAATAAAAGGTAGGTGGGCCAGGCTAGTATTTGCCAAAATAAGACTTATTTTGACAAATGACCTACTCTTCTAAGAAAGGGTACTAGCCCCGCCCACCCACCCATTATTTTCTTAGAAAAGTTGGTCATCTGCCAAAATCAACCTTATCTTGGCAAGTATGAGACTGACTTTTGCAGATGACATATCGTCTAAGAAAATAAGGGTGGGTGGGCGGGGCTAGTACTTGTCAAGATGAGACTTATTTTGGCAGATGATATATCCTCTAATAAAATAAGGGTGGGTGGGCGGGGGGCTAGTACTTGCCAAGATAAGACTGATTTTGGCAGATGACTTATTCTTCTAAGAAAATAAAGGCTGGGTGGGTGTCGCTAGTACTTGTTAAAAATAAAAAAACTTAAAAATCAAAAAATGACAAATTGGAAAATTGGATAAATGAGAAATCGGAAAATGGTACAACTCTTTAATCGGAAAATCAAAAACTGAAATATCAAAAAATGGAAAAAAATCTTATAAAATCGAGTTTGTAATTTCAGTTGTCATTTTTTTTGTTTTTTTCAATTTTTTAATATTTCATTTGATAATTTGTTTGACAATTTTGCAGTGGGCCAGGCTAGTATTTGCCAAAATAAGACTTATTTTGACAAATGATCTACTCTTCTAAGAAAGGGTACTAGCCCCGCCCACCCACCCTTTATTTTCTTAGAAGAGTTGGTCATCTGCCAAAATCAATCTTATCTTGGCAAGTATGAGACTGACTTTTGCAGATGACATATCCTCTAAGAAAATAAGGGTGGGCGGGCGGGGCAAGTACTTGTCAAGATGAGACTTATTTTCGCAGATGACATATCCTCTAAGAAAATAAGGGTGGGTGGGCGGGGGGCTAGTACTTGCCAAGATAAGACTGATTTTGCCAGATGACTTATTTTTCTAAGAAAATAAACGCTAATACTTGCTAAAAATAAAAAAACTAAAAAATCAAAAAATGACAATTGAAAAATTGGATAAATGAGAAATCGGAAAATTCTACAATTGTTTAATCGGAAAATCAAAAACTGAAATATCGAAAAATGGAAAAAAAAAATCTTATAAACTCGAATTCGTAATTCCAGTTGTCATTTTTTTTGTTTTTTTTTTACTTCTGAATATTTCATTTGATAATTTATTCGACAATTTTGCAGTTTTTGCCAAATAACTTACCCTCTAAGAAAATAAAGGGTAGGTGGGCCAAGCTAGTATTTGCCAAAATAAACCTTATTTTGCCAAATGACCTCTTCTAAGAAAGGGTACTAGCCCGCCCACCCGCCCTTTATTTTCTTAGAAGAGCTGGTCATCTGCCAAAATCAATCTTATCTTGGCAAGTATGAGACTGACTTTTGTAAATGACATATCCTCTAAGAAAATAAGGGTGGGTGGGCGGGGCTAGTACTTGTCAAGATGAGACTTATTTTGGCAGATGACATATCCTCTAAGACAATAAGGGTGGGTGGGCGGGGGCTAGTACCTGCCAAGATATGACTTATTTTGGCAGATGACTTATTCTTCTAAGAAAATAAAGGCTGGGTGGGTGTGGCTAGTACTTGTTAAAAATAAAAAAACTTAAAAATGAAAAAAATGACAAATTGAAAAATTGGATAAATGAGAAATCGGTAAATTGTACAACTGTTTGATGGGAAAATCAAAAACTGAAATTTCGAAAAATGGAAAAAAAATCGTATAAAATCGAATTCGTAATTCCAGTTGTCACTTTTTTGTTTTTTTCAACTTTTGAATATTTCATTTGATAATTTGTTTGACAATTTTGTAGTGGGCCAGGCTAGTATTTGCCAAAATAAGACTTATTTTGACAAATGATCTACTCTTCTAAGAATGGGTACTAGCCCCGCCCACCCACCCTTTATTTTCTTAGAAGAGTTGGTCATCTGCCAAAATCAATCTTATCTTGGCAAGTATGAGACTGACTTTTGCAGATGACATATCCTGTAAGAAAATAAGGGTGGGCGGGCGGGGCAAGTACTTGTCAAGATGAGACTTATTTTCGCAGATGACATATCCTCTAAGAAAATAAGGGTGGGTGGGCGGGGAGCTAGTACTTGCCAAGATAAGACTGATTTTGCCAGATGACTTATTTTTCTAAGAAAATAAACGCTAGTACTTGCTAAAAATAAAAAAACTAAAAAATCAAAAAATGACAATTGAAAAATTGGATAAATGAGAAATCGGAAAATTGTACAATTGTTTAATCGGAAAATCAAAAACTCAAATATCGAAAAATGGAAAAAAAAATCTTATAAAATCGAATTCGTAATTCCAGTTGTCATTTTTTTTTTGTTTTTTTTTTCCAACTTTTGAATATTTCATTTGATAATTTATTCGACAATTTTGCAGTTTTTGCCAAATAACTTACCCTCTAAGAAAATAAAGAGCAGGTGGGCCAAGCTAGTATTTGCCAAAATAAGACTTATTTTAATAAATGACCTCTTCTAAGAAAGGGTACTAGACCCGCCCACCCACCCTTTATTTTCTTAGAAGAGTAGGTCATCTGCCAAAATTAATCTTATCTTGGCAAGTATGAGACTGATTTTTGCAAATGACATATCCTCTAAGAAAATAAGGGTGGGTGGGCGGGGCTAGTACTTGTCAAGATGAGACTTATTTTGGCAGATGACGTATCCTCTAAGAAAATAAGGGTGGGTGGGCGGGGGCTAGTACCTGCCAAGATATGACTGATTTTGGCAGATGACTTCTTCTTGTAAGAAAATAAAGGCTGGATGGGTGTAGCTAGTACTTGTTAAAAATAAAAAAACTTAAAAATCAGAAAATGACAAATGGAAAAATTGGATAAATGAGAAATCGGAAAATTGTACAATTGTTTAATCGGAAAATCAAAAACTGAAATATCGAAAAATGGAAAAAAAATCTTATAAAATCGAATTCGTAATTCCAGTTATCATTTTTTTTTGTTTTTTTTTCCCAACTTTTGAATATTTCATTTCATAATTTATTCGACAATTTTGCAGTTTTTTCCAAATAACTTACCCTCTAAGAAAATAAAGGGCAGGTGGGTGTGGTTAGTACTTGCTAAAAATAAAAAACTTAAAAATCAAAAATTGACAAATTGAAAAATTGGATAAATGAGAAATCGGAAAATTGTCCAACTGTTTAATCGGAAAATCAAAAACTGAAATATCGAAAAATTGAAAAAAAAAACCAAATCTTATAAAATCGAATTCGAAATTCCAATTTTCATTTTTTTTTAGTTTTTAGATTTTTCAACTTTTGAATACTTCATCTGATAATTTGTTTGACAATTTAGCAGTTTTTAACTCCAATCTTTTGATTTTTCAAGTTTTAACTTTACAATTGTGGAATTTTTTGATTTTTAATTTTTCAAATTTTCAAGTTAAAATTTTTCCTTTTTCGATTTTTTAACTAAAACAACAAATTTATTCGAACCGAAATTTTGAAAAATCGAAAAATCTAAAAATTGAAGATTAGAAACAAAATTTTCAGATGTTTTCAAGTTACGGTAAAAATGGCAATCGTTGATCAAAATTACTTTTTTACTCGGTGACAAAAAATCAAAAATCGAAAATTTAAAAAAATAAACATCTATTTTCTCGATATTTTCAAAATCAAATAATTGAGAAATCGCAAAACTGCCAAAATTGTTAAATTAAAAAATCGAGTTGCCCAGAGAAATCAGAAATCAAAAGACAGATCAAAAAGTTGAAAATTTAAAAATTCGAAAGTTGAAAAACCGAACAACTGAAAAATTTAGTAGTACTCGCTACGATAAGACTGATTTTGGCAAATGATCTATTCTCTAAGAAAATAAGGGTGGGTGGGCGGGGCTAATACTTGTTAAGATAAGACTGATTTTGGCAGATGACCCACTCTTCTAAGAAAATAAAGGGTGGGTGGGCGGGGCTAACACCTTTTCTTAGAAGAAAATTCATCACAATTGAGATACGGGTGGGTGGGCGGGGTTTAATCATTCGCTTCTTTTTCTTAATGTACCTATAGAGTTTACTTTCAATAACATAACACTTAAAACATAATTGTAACTTCAAATTCACCATTTGATATATTCAGTATTTTATGATTGAAATGGACAAGCCCCACCCACCCGCCCCATCTCAATTGTGATGAATATTTTTATTCATCGTGAGACCGAGGGGTGGAGCTTAACCGCAAAGTCCATATTTCTGTACAAGAAATTACCAAGTGAAAAATGTTTGAGATCTGATCGTATTGTTGAAAATAGACTACTTTGAGAAAAAATAGGGAATAAATATGCTTATTTTTTCAAAAGTACAAGGAGATTTCGAAAAAGAAAAAAAAAACACTGTACGTAATGGTAGATCTGGCAACCCTGGTGACTTTTCACATGGTAATTTCTTGTAAAGAAATAGAGATTTTGCAATTAAGCTCCGCCCCGCAGCTGACGATGAATAAAAAAAATTCATCACATCTGAGATAGGGGCGGGTGGGTGGGGCTTATATTTTACCTTTTTTTTTTCTTAATATGCATTGCCATCTTCTCACAACAAGAAACTTAAAACATCTTGGAAACGGTAAATTTTTCTAAAGAAATGTGGATTTTGTCATTAAGCTCCGTCCTTCGAAATGACAATAAATGAAAAATTCATCACAATTGGGATAGGGGTAGGTGGGTGGGGCTTAATCAATGAGTTGTAAAACATAATTCTTACCTCGAATTTACCATTTGATATTTTCAGTATTTTATTATTGAAATAGATAAGCCCCACCCACCCGCCCCATCTCATTTGTGATGAATTTTTTATTCGTCGTGAGATCGAGGGGTGGAGCTTAACCGCAAAGTCCGTATTTACGTACAAGAAATTACGGAGTGAAATATGTTTGAAGCATTATCATATTGGTTTGAGAAAAAATAGGGAACGAAGAAGAAAAAAAACTTTACAGAATTTTGCTAACATAGCAGCGCCAATAAACAGATTAAGCAAGAAAAATGTGCAATTTAGTTGGAACGTGGAAAGTTAAAACATTGAAACATTGAAAAATGCTTTAGTAAAACCACCAATTTTACAGTATCCAAATTTTGCACAAAATAACACTTTTATTTTAAAAACTGACGCTTCTTCCATTGCATTAGGAGCCGTATTCATTTCTTTAAGTCGGGTTTAATATCATTTCAGTAATATATCATTTATATTTATTTTTCATGAGACCAAAATGTGAAAAGAAATCGCTTAGAATGCGAGCGCAGCGAGCATGTGTAGGTGTTATTAAAAATAAGTCACTATTGTCCCTGAGAAGCTAAATTATAACAAGAAAATTATTCATCGCGTAGAAAAAAGTGTATCTCGAAAACAATTGTGACTACTAATGATGAGAAGACCTGAATGTGCTCACTGCGCTCGTATTTGAAGGATTAGTTTCCGAAAATCTACAAAATTAGTATCATAAATGATCCCAAACAATTTCGCTAAAATACTTTCTTGAATATTTCTGAAACTAAACTTTAAAGAAAGAGCTTTTAGAAGGCGAGCGCCTTAAAAAGTTGCAAAATTTTAGAGCATTCGGTTTTGCTGTTTCAAAATTAAATTGCAAAATTTTGTCATACATTTTTGATTTTTTTTTCAAAAATCTGGATGTTTCGAGCAAAAAATCAACACATTTATAAATAATAAACAAAAACAAAACCAACAACAAAAATCCATTAAAGCATAACCAACTAAACACTAGAGAAGATTCCAAATTTTGATCATTTTTTGTAAAAATTAGTCATCAGTACTTGCCAAGATAAAACTGATATTGGCAAATGACATATCCTCTAAGAAACGAGAGGGTGGGTGGGCGGGGCTAGAAGCTGTTAAGATAAGACTGATTTTAACAAATAATATACCCTCTAAGAATAATTTACAAAAAAGATCTCCATGGGCTTTCAAAATAATATACCATGGGTGTTATTTAGTTGTTAAATGTAGCAAAAGAACCAATTTAAAAATTATAACTACACCAAAATGTGAGAAGGAAGAGTTAATCCGCCATTTTCCAGACACCCAATATAAAAAAAAACCTGGGGGAAGATAACTTCCAGGGTCTTCAAAAAAGGTACCTTTCTTAACCTCTGCTCTCACCTTAATCACCGCTTTTTCCACATCGCTGGACTCCGGATTGAGCCTCTTGTACTCCACAGCATAGTTATAACACAGCTTCGCCGCCGCGACCTGATCCGCCCCTGCAACCCCAAACTAGAATAACCGCCTCCACCCGCCACCACCTACCGTTGGGCGTGTGCGTCATCAGATGGTACATCACCGACGTGGCCAACTCCAAATCCGAGATATTCATCACGCACTCGTCGATTTCCTTGAACAGATCGTCGTGCTTCGAGCACAGAACCCACTCCTTCGTGGCGGGCCTGCTCAACACCCCGCTGGCCACTACGTCCTTCATCACGAACGAACAGATCGTGTTTTTGGTGAGGTACGGCTTGAGGATGTCGATGGCGTCGAACCACCTCTTGTACGTCGCCAGGTTGATCTCGGGCCGGATGATGTTGAAGATCTGGTCGGTGAAGAGCAGCGGACTGAAGGAGAGTCGGAACTCGGAGAGGACGTCGATCGACTGGGTGTCGGGGTAGTTCGTGAACCAGTGCTCGATTTCGGTCTCGCTCGGTTTGCTCACTCGCTGGTAGTCCTTGAGGAAGATGAGCAGCATCCGTTTGGCGTCGTTCTCTTGGTCGGAGTTGATGCGGGAGAGGATGTCCAGCATGGCGAGGAAGACTTCGTAGTAGTAGGTGTTGACGGATTTCCAGAGAGTCATCACGATGTGGAGGACGTGTTCGCGGTCGAGGAGGTTGATGACGTCGTGGCACTTCTGGAGGAGGTCGGCTTCGCTGTTTTTCACCACTAGGTGTTTGCGGGAGCCGGCGTGGGTTTCGCTCGAGATCTAAAATTCAAGAGTTTGAAAAATTTTTGGGTGACTTTTGTGAACACTTACCTCGTACTCGGGTTTCCAATTAACCAAGACATTCATCAAAAACAACTTATACGACGACATCACCTCCAGCTTAAAATCGTGACAGTACTCTTTCACCGTACCGACATCCAAACAGTCCGAATTTACCAGCAACTCGAACCGCTCTTCAGACTTCATCTTGAAGAAAACATCATAATCCAACTTTTTTCCTTCGAATTTCTTCCACCACTTGATAATGGTCAAAGACTTGAGCATCTCCGACTTCCCTTGCGAAATCTTGTGATAATCCCACAACTTGAGACCGATCCTGGTGATACAAGCGAACTTCTTCGGGTGTCTTTTGTACATCTTCCAGCTGTTCACGACGAACTTGGCGGCGTCGTCGCGGTCACACAACAACAACAGCCCGTACAACAGATTCTCATCCACGACGTTGTTGCTCAAAATGGACGCCAACACCTTGGGGACGCACTTCTTCTTCAACACGTCGTTCAAGAACTTCAAAGTGGCGGCGTTCGGATTCGGCACTTGCATCATGCAGTCTTGAAGCGTCTGCACGATATTATACGAAGTGAAGTGTTGACCTTCTTTGCTCAAGTTTTCAAGAATCGGCGGCAGGAGTTTCAGCTCCTTGAAGAAGTCTTCTTCGGTTAAAGGCGGTTCCGCGACTAAATCAACACCGCCTGGGTTATTCAACCCCGACAAGTACCTGGAGAACCCCACGAACACGTTCCTGATCGTCGAAAACGTCAAAAACCCGGGCGGTACCGACGCCACGTCGAAAACATCCCCGAATAGCTTCTTCTTCAGCTCGGAATCGCCACTCCTCGTGAACGAGGAGCTCGTCTGCACCCACCTCCCCAGCTCCATGCACGTCGCCTCCTCGTCCACCTTCGCGTTGCACGTCGCCTTCCCCATCAACTCCCGCGCCAACTTCATCCCCTCCAGGAACACCTCATCACCTACCACCTCCATGCTCTCGGAGTCGAAACTATCGTCAAGCAGCTTGACTTTGTACGTTCCGGAGTACTTCAGCAGCAACGCGGCCATCGAGCACAGGTCTTTGGCGGAAGCGTCCGAGTCCCCGACGCGTTGCGCGGCTTTGAGAATCACGCCGTAGTCGGCTGTCTTCTCGCACAGCTTCTTGGTGAACTCGATGTGGTCGATGCCCAGATAAAGCGACAGCTTCTGGCAGACGGCAAAGACTTGATCGAGCGTGCGTTTACCGCTGCTGAAGTCGCGGATGGCAGCGTCGAAGAGCTCCTCCAGGAGGTGGTTTCTGGTGGCGGGGTTGCAGAGGTCGTGGGTCGTGGTTTTAACGTTGAAGTGTTTACGTAAGTTGTAGACGTTTCGGATTTGGGTGAGGGTGGCGTTGTGGCAAGTGCGGTAGAAGTCGTTAGTTTCGTTGTCGTTTAATCGACGGAAAACGCAACCTGCTACTTCGTAGTAGTTGTCGATGAGGTCGGAGGGTAGATTCACCTGAAAGGTGGGGATGGAAGTCTAAAATTGTTGCTAGTGGACCTTTTTAATGAGATTTCAAATCTAGGGAATTTTGGTGCAGTTGGCAAGATTTAGAGAATGGACGAATGACTGCAATGCCAAAAATTATTTTTGATTGTCATTAATTTAACAGGTATATTATTTGTAAAAGTGAATTTGGAATATACTGTCTTTGGTATAACATGTTTTTTATTTCTTGTAGAGAAATAAGGATTTTGCAATTAAGCTCCGCCCCTTGGCTCACGACAAATAAAAAAAAAATCATCAGAATTGAGACAGGGCGGGTGGGCGGGGTTTATATTTTGCTTTTTTTTCTTAATATACACAGCCGTCTTTTCACAACAAGAAACTTAAAACATTGTTAGAATGGTACATTTTTATAAGGAAATATGGATTTTGCAATTATGGGGCGGAGCCTAAATGCAAAATCGTTATTTCCTTATACAAATTCTCCATTTTAAACATGTTTTAAGTTTCATGTTGTGAAAAGATTACTAGGTATATTAAAAAAAAAGCCGATTTTTTTATTCGTCGTGAGTCAGAGGGGCGGAGTTTAATTGCAAAATCTAGCTTTAATTTTTAATATACCTAGAATTTTTTGAATAACACGATGTCTTAGGTGGTAATTTCTTGTAAAGAAATAAGAATCTTGCAATGAAGCTCCGTCCTCTTGGCTCACGACGAATAAAAAAAAATCACAATTGAGACAGGGCGGGCGGGTGGGGCTTATATTTTGCTTTGTTTTTCTTAATTTACGTAGTCATATTTTCACAACAAAAATTTAAAACAAATGACTACGTATATTAAGAAAAAAAAGGCATAGTATATGCCCCGCCCACCCACCCTATCTCAATCGTGATGATTTTTTTTTACCCGTCGTAAGTCGTGGGGAGGAGCTTAATTGCAAAATCTTTCTTTTCCTACTAGAAATTGCTATAATTTTTAATATATTAAAAATTGTATACATAAAGGCCACTTCTGAATCAAACATGTTGAAATTTAAAGGTTGTTAAAAAATAAACAGCCAATCAGATTTACGAATTTAACTCGTTACTATGGAAATTTGCAATTTAACACCCTTTAAATTTAACACGATGCTCAAAAACATGTCTTGTGATTTCTTTTAGAGAATTAATTATTTTGCAATTAAGCTCCGCCCTCTTGACTCACGACGAATAAAAAAATCACTACAATTGAGACAGGGTGGGTGGGTGGGGCTTATATTTTGTCTTTTTTTTTTTCTTAATATACGTAGTCATCCTTCCACAACAAAAATTTAAAACAGTGACTACGTATATTAAGAAAAAAAGGCACAACATAAGCCCCGCCCACCCGCCCTATCTCAATCGTGATGATTTTTTTTTACCCGTCGTACGTCGTGGGGCGGAGCTTAATTGTTAAATCCTTATTTTTTCTTAGGTAATCGTGTTATTCAAAGAAAACCCTATATATTAATTAAAAAATAAAGCTAAATATTAAACTCCACCTATCCTATACCCCCTCCGCGATCTCAGTTGTAATGAATTTTTCATTCGTTGTCAGACCGTGGGGCGGAGCGTAATTGCAAAATCCCAATTTCCATACAAAAATTTACCATTTCAAACATGTTGTAAGTTCTTGTTCTGAAAAGACGACTACGTATATTAAGAAAGAAGGCAAAATGTAAACCCGCCCACCCACCCTGTCTCAATTGTGATGATTTTTTTATATTCACCGTGAACCAAGGGGGCGGAGCTTAACTGCAAAACACTTATTTCTTTACAAGAAATTAAAAACATGTTTTTGAGTATCGTGTTGTTCAAAGAATACTTTGTATATTAAGAAAAAAAGGCAAATATAAACCCCACCCTATCTCAATTGTGAAGATTTTCTTTATTCTTAGACTCTTGACACATTTAAAATTGGCAAATTTTTGTAAGGAAATATGGATTTTACAACTAGGCTCCGCCCCTCGGTCTGCCAACGAATGAAAACTTCATCACTACTTAGATCAGATTAGATTTGGCCTTAATTTTTTCTTAATATACACAGTATTCTTGGAATAACTTGGAAATAATAACGATTTTGCAATTAAGCTCCGCCCCTAGGCTTACGACGAATAAAAAAAAATCATCAGAATTGAGATAGCACGGGTGGGCGGGGCTTATACAGAGTCATCAAAATTGATTGAGAGAGTTGGTAAACCTGAACTTGAATAATTTGGTTTATTAAGTTGTATAAAAATATTAGCTGCCAGATTTGAAGTTTCAAGTTTCAAATTTCAAAACTCAGTGGCGTCTTTTTTCGACTTTTTTTTTTGGTAAAAACATTAGTTGTCAGATTTGAAGTTTCTAATTTTTGTCACGCTACTGAATTCATTGCCATATAACCTTAAACAAATCTGTCATAAGGTTGACAAACTTCACGACAAAAACAAGGGGTACCAACTCTCTCAATCAATTTTGATGACCCTGTATTTTGTTTTTTCCCTCAATATATGTAGTCGTCTTATCAGAACAAACTTAAAACATTTTTAAAACGGTAAATTCTTGTACACAAGTATGAATCTTGCAATTAAGCCCCGCCCCTCGATCTGACAACGAATGAAAAATTTATCATACTTGAAAATTAAGATCGAGCTGGATATGGGTGGGGCTTAATTTTTTTGATAATATACATAGTATTCTTTGAACAAGACAATACTCAGAAACATGTTTTTAATTTCTCGTAGAGAAAGGATTTTGCAGTCAAGCTTTGCCCCTCGACTTACGACCAATAAAAAAAATCATCAGAATTGAGATAGGGTGGGTGGGCGGGGCTTATATTTTGCCTTTGTTTCGTAATATGTGTAGTCATCTTTTCCCAACAAGAAACTTAAAAGATGTTTAAAATGGTAAATAGGGAAATATCGATTTTGCAATTATGCTCCGCCCCCTCGGTCTGGCGACGAATGAAAACTTCATCACTACTTCGATCAGATTTGCCATTAATTTTTTTTTAATATACATAGCATTCTTTGAATAACTCAGAAATACTCAAACATATCTTACATGGTAATTTCTTGTAGAGAAATAATAACGATTTTGCAATTAAGCTCCGCCCCTAGGCTTACAACCAATAAAAAAATATATATCAAAATTGAGACAGGGTGGGTGGGCGGGGCTTATATTTTGCCTTCTTTCTTATTATAAGTAGTCGTCTTTTCAGGACAAGATACTTAAAACATGTTTAAAATGGTAAATTCTTGTAGACAAATGTGGATCTTGCAATTAAGCCCCGCCCCTCGATCTGACAACGAATGAAAAATTTATCACACCTGAGAATTAAGATCGCGCTGGGTATGGGTGGGGCTTAATTTTTGGCTTAATTTTTTTTGATAATATACATAGTATTCTTTGAACAACACAATACTCGGAAACATTTTTTTAATTTCTCGTAGAGAAATAAGGATTTTGCAGTTAAGCTTCGCCCCTCGACTTACGACCACTAAAAAAAATCATCAGAATTGAGATAGGGCGGGTGGGCGGGGCTTACATTTTGCCTTTTTTTCTTAACATGTGTAGTCATCTTTTCCCAACAAGAGACTTACAACATGTTTAAAACGGTAAATAGGGAAATATCGATTTTGCAATTACGCTCCGCCCCTCGGTTTAACGACGAATGAAAAATTCATCACAACTGAGATCGCGACGGATGGGTGGGGCTTCTCTTTTGGTTTTTTTTTAATTAAGACATTCAGTTTTATTTCTATAACACGATTACTTTAGAACATATTTCACATGGTAGTTTCTCGTAAAAAAATAAGGATTTTATAATTAAGTTCCATCCCTCGAGTTACGACGTATTAAAAAAATCATCAGAAATGAGATAGGGTGGGTGGGCGGGGCCTATATTTTGTCGTCTTTTCACAACATGGTACATTTTTGCAAGCAAATATGGATTTTGCAATTATAGGGTGGAGCCTAATTGCAAAATCGATAATGCCCTTATACAGATTTTCCATTTTAAACATGTTTTAAGTTTCATGTTGTGAAAAGAAGTCTACACATATTAAAACAAAAAGGCAAAATCTAAGCCCGCCCACCCGCCCTGTCTCAATTGTGATGATTTTTTTTATTCGCCGTGGACCAAAGGGGCGGGGCTGAACAGCAAATTATTATTTCTTTACAAAAAATTAAACATGTTTTTAAAATATCGTGTTGTTCAAAGAATACTATGTATATTAAGAAAAAAAGCCAAAATATAAACCCCACCCACCCTCTCTTTTCTTAGAGAGTATGTCATTTGCCAAAATCACTCTTACCTTAGCAAATACTAGCCCCGCCCACCCAACCTGTTTTTTCTCACAGGATATGTCATCTGCCAAAATCAGTCTTATCTTAGCAAGTACTAGCCCCGCCCACTCTCCTCTTCTCATTGTAACAACTAATTTTATTTTTGTTGAGCATAAGATGATTCATTTCGTTCAGTTCGGATAAAATAAATCACTGAAAAGGAGACTGGGTGGGTGGGCGGGGCTAATTATGTTCTTCTGTCGAGTGGGAGTGGAAATTAATAATAGAATCCAGGATGTGAAAAAAGTAAAAAAAAAACCGTCAATCGTAACTTCTTTTGTTATACTATTTGCTTATTTTACCTTTCTGTCTACATTCCACTCTGTATCAGTGTAAATGCCATTTTTTTGTCCAATAAAATGAGTGATTAGAACGAAAACAGGGTGGGTGGGCGGAGCCACTTTGAATTTTTTAAAGCTTAAATTGAACCACTTGACTTGATTTTCATCTCAGAGGAAATAAAATTATCCAATGAAATTCAAAAACGGAGCTGGGTGGAGTTAGTTTTATCAATTGAACACTTTTTGTCCAATAAAATCAGTGATTAAAAACGAAAACCGGGTGGGCGGGCTTTGAATTTTTTCAAGCGCAAAAGCGACTACGTGACAAAATAAAATTCAAAATTTTGGAAACATGGTGGGAATTTCCGAAGAAACGAAGCCCAAAATGGCTTCTGGGTATCGAAATCTACAAAAAAATGTCTTCAACTAATTTTCGGAAAAACATAGTAGAAAAATGGGTGGGCGGGGCTTATATTTTGCATTTTTTCTTAACATACGTAGTCATCTTTCCACAACAAGAAACTTAAAACATGTTTAAAATGGTAAATTCTTGTAGACAAATATGGATCTTGCTAAGCCCCGCCCCTCGATCTGACCACGAATGAAAAATTCATCACAACTGAGAATTGAGATAGGAGCGGGTACGGGTGGAGCGTAATCTTTGGCTTAATTTTTTTGTTAATGTACATAGCATTCTTTAAACAACACGATACTCAAAAACAGAACAGAAATAAGGATTTTGCAGTTAAACTCCGCCCCCTTGGCTCACGACGACTTAAAAAAAAATCATCACATTTTGCCTTTTTTTCTTAATATTGGAAAATGACCAAAATATACATTTGAGCCCAGCTATGTCTAAACCTAAACTTGTCCTGGCTGCCCAGAACTCCGCAGGTCCAATACTTAGCCACGAAAATCATTTTAAGTATAATTTCGTTCTTTTGGAGTTTATTAGACAATGACATTTGTAACAACTACCAATCTTGAAAACATAAATTACACTAGTTCTCGTAAAGCCTATGAAAATGTCCAATAAATTTTTAAAAAGAAAACTTACCGCATCATTAACAACTGTTTCTACCATTGTAGCTAGCTCCTGTGCACAGTTGAAGACCTCTTCGGGGGTATTATTGTCCAATAAATTTATGGCTTTTTCAAAACACCTACGAAAAAATTAAATCATTTTTAACACAGTCGTCTAGTAAGCCATGACCGGAAATGTCAAACTCAACAAGAAACGCGTTCCCGTTACCAACCTAATTTTTTAGACACGAAATAAACTCACCCTTTCCTGATAAAGTGGTTCACCAGCAACATATTCCCCACGTGCTTCTCCTCCCCACACAACAGATACACATCCTCCACCATCGTCGGCTCGTTGCAATACACAATCCTATTCAGCACAAACTTCAGCTAAAACTCACCCATGACTAACCCACACCTCCACTACCAAAAACCTACATCACCCCTCCCGACCTTGCGCTCTCTGATCAGATAATTCGGCCTCATCAGCACCACCTGGATCGGCTCCGCAAGAATCAGCTCTTTAATTTCCGCCGCCAGCGGATGCGAGCTCGTGGCCGCTTCCTCGGCGATCTTCCGCACGGTGTCGCTCCACGGCGCCTTCGCCTCGTTCAGAACGCACTTCACGGCCTCCAGCCTGACCCGAACCGAGCTAATACAGTTCAAAATCGACTCGATCAGCGTGCCCCAATACGACTCTTCGTATTTCACCAGCTCCTACAACAAGGTGCAACCAGCGCTCTTTTTTCTCGGCGACTCACCTCGATCTCTGCGAGAAAAATCTCGTTGGGCTGCATGTGGTTCTCCACCATGTACGGCCACAAGAAGCGTTTGAGGAAGACGTCGTAGTCGTCGGCGCACATTTCGACGTTGAGGAGAAGGCGGACGACGTTCTGGGGTCCTGATAAACAATCCGCCAGTGGAATGTCAATTCTGTAGTCGGTTTTGAGCGTTTTGAGGGTTTTGAGAGTTGGGGTGAGAACTGATAGGTTGGAGAGGGCCTCCTGGTGTAGGATGCACTGTCTTTGGAAGGAAATGTCTGCAGAGTTGGTCAGACGCATCAATTCGACTATGTTTTCAGTGAAGCGGATCGCGTTATCGGGGAAATTGGCTTTTCCGCGATTTTCTAAGTAGAAAACGCGGCTGTGGGTCCATTTGAGGAATAACGGGAAGCTCGACGGGAGAGCGGATAGAGTAATGGAGATGAATATTGGCAGAAACGGCTCGTACGTCGCTATAGAGATCTAGAAACCGTAAATTACAAAAATGAAAAACAAAAAGGACGTATTATTACGTGGTTGAGGACGTTAAGAATGTCGGAAACGTCCGAATCCGTCAACTCTTTCCTCGTTTGAGCGTCAAGGCGGCTGTAAATAATCTTCGCGTCTTCTATACAATGCTGCAGAAAAATTAGTCAAGCTAGCATTTTCACAATTTTAGTTGTACCATTGTTTAAGTATATTATAGTTGGACAACCTAATACAAATTTTACTTCGCCTAAATAGTGAGCTTTAGGACAAGGAATCCAGGGGGCGTGGGACAAATTTTTCGTCAACGCGCATTTTCACTACAGAGAGCCAACGTATTAGGTTTATTTTACTCTAAATCAGATGGCGCCATCAAACATTAGCAAAGGCAAACACCCTTCACTCTGCTCTTATACGAGGAGTTATCCATAAATCCATAATTAACATTGTTCCGTAAACAGTAATGTGTATAAACATATATGTACAAAATACGAAAATATACTTGACATAAAAAATATGAAGTAACGCGTTGTAACGTGATACGAAAGAATTGAATTTAAAAGAATTTGACGCCTATTTTTATTTGACTATATCTGAAGACTGACAGAAACTTTCCAAGGGTTTTTAAACTGGTATAATTGTTTAGTTTTACAAGATTAAAGTAAAACAAGATTTTAAGTAAAATTTAGATTCGTGGTGTTACAAAAATATTAACATAAAATGAAAATATATGTTCAAAGTAAATAACAGAATGACATAAACTTTCGGCGTTAACATTACAAATAATTACAAGAGAGAAAAAAACGCATTAAGAACTTAAGAGGCATGTTTGTAATATCGAGTTGTTAAAGGCTGCTTTGAAGACTGTTTGTTTCTATGAAAAACAATTGCTGTTATCGGACATTTTGGTAGATTTTGTTCCAAAAATACGAGATAACTAATTGTTTCTTGAACTAGTTTCCGTAACTTCTAAAATTTAAAAAGGATACGCCGTTCTGCTGTAATAAAATCTAGAATAAGGTCAAAATCACACTAATATTACATCTGATTTTGTTAACCACATGAATATAATTTACATTAAAATAAGTTACAGACATTGTTTGAAATGTTTATTATAGTTCGAAAACAAGATAAAATAAATAAATAAATAAAATGTGCAGTTTATAAACTTCAGAATTTTAGTATAAAAATAATCATGTTTGAAGCTTTATTTTGTCTGTTCGATTTTATTGGGTGTATTCGGCCCCTCTCGAGATATAACACCGACATCAGTGCACCGACCCAACGTTCTTCAACCGATGGGATGATTTATTACTTCCGTTATGCTGGCCCTACACACAGCGATTTGGTTTTCGGATTTTCGGCTAGATCTGCACAGTTAACTCTTTGCGCACTGCACACTGACATAGAGTATTTTGTTCACGCGAGCATCAAAAATATTACCCCGAAAGTACTTCTTCAAGTGTTATTTTTTTTAAGATGTCATATTTGTCAGCGTTTCCAAAATTTTCTTCTTTGCACAGGTCAACTAATTTTTCATAAACCGCATTTTAAAATTTTTGTTATTGTATTTTTTACTTTTTAATTTTCTAAGGCATGAAAAAATCCTATATAGGTTTCTATGAATTTATTAACGAAATCAACTGATAACTTGCGCGCCATTTTGTGTTAATTAATACCAATAGTGATTATGATAATTTTATTATTATCATTTTAATGAAATTGTGTTCTTCACTTCGCGAACGACAGCAAACAATTTAAAATTACCGCTAGTCAAGCACCTGAAAATCCATCTCTCCCAAATATGTCTTTCTTGGCACGATTTGTAATCCGAAGTCTCCCTCCACATACAATTTTTCGTCGCCTGAAAACTTGTTTGATCTACAGACCAAAATACACTCAGGCCAATATCGGCTTTAAGCGATTTATCTATAAACCGATATTCGTTAGAGTTGATCTGATACACATCCACTACGAAGAACTAACCCATTTCGACCACTGGACTTTACAACGAATAAGTGAACAAAGTTCTTGAACATCTTAACGATTTAATACATAATGTTCCCGAATGACAAAATTTACATTTCAAATTGTATTATCAAATTACACTCTCCAAAATTTGTCACGAACAATGACATGACGCAATCTGTAGTTTCGCCCCGTTTACGGTTTATGCATCCGTGTCGAGTTTTCACCTTAGACGTCAAGATTTTTGGAAAAAAATCAACATTTTCCAATTTATAATGTTATTTAAATTTTAAAAAGTAGAATAGTCCTGATCTTGTGATTTATACCTAAATACGGTATTGGGAATTTTCGGCTTGTCGATTTCTCGATTTTTCAACTTTAAATGTCTCAATTTTTCAATATTTCAATTTTGGGCTTTTCCGATTCCTCCATTCTTTAAATTTTCTATTTCTAGATTTTTTTTATTTTTCGATTTCTCAATCTTTCGATGTTTCAATGATACGATTTCTCAATTTTTGTCCTCTTCAATTTTACGGTTTTTAAATACTTGGATTTTTCAATTTTTCAAATTTTCACGTTTCTAAATTTTCAGTTTGCCGATTTATAAAGTATTTTTTTTATTTGTCCATTTCTGGATTTCCTAAAGTTTCGACTTTTCACATTTTCAATTCTTCAATTTTTCGATTTTTTAAGATTACGATTTTTCAATTTTGCTTTTTTAGATTTTCGATTTCTCAATTTTCCAATTTTTTAATTTCTCAATTTTTTGAATATTTCTTTCAGTTATGAGATTTTTCAATATTTCAACTTTTCGACTTTTCGATTTTTGAATTGATGGATTTTTTTTGATTTCTCGCTTTTTTCCTTTTTGGATTTTCAATTTATTGTAAACTTTAGATTTTTCAATTCTGCGACTGTTTAATGCTTCGATTTCTCAATTTTTAAACCTTTCGATGTTTTATTATTTCATTTTTTAAAATTCTAGGTTTTTCGATATCTCGAGTTTTCAGTTCTTCGATATTTCAATTTTTCGATTTTTTGATTTTTAATTTTTGATTTTCCAGTTTTTCTTTTTTAAAATTTTTCGATTATTAAATTTTTTAATTTCTCAATTTATCGAATTCAGATGTTTCGTTGTTTTGATTGTTCAATTTCTCAATTTTTCTTTTTTAACTTTCCTTTTCGGCTTCCGACTCCTCAGTTTCTCGATCCTCCGATTTTTCGATTTCTCGAAGTCTCAGTTTTTGAATTTTTCGATGTTTCGATTTTTGGATTTCTCGGTTTTTCGATTTTTTTCTTTTGAGCTTTTCAATTTCTGGATTTTCCAATTTTTCAATGCCCCGATTTTTCAATTTTTCAAATTGAATTGGATTTCTCGATTCTTCAATTTTGCGTATTCATTGTTTTAAATTTTAGTTTTTTCGATTTCTCGATTTTTTGATTTTTCAGTTCTTCAGTATTTAAATTTTTCAATTTTTCAAATTTTTGCGTTAAATTTTCAGTTTTCTGATTTCTCAATTAATCTATTTTTGATTTTCCCACTTCTCAAAGTTTCGATTTTTCAGTTCTTCAATTCTTCGATTTTTCGACTTCGCTTTATTGGTTTGTCGATTTCTCAATTTTTGGATATTTCTTTCAGTTTTGATATTTTTCAATACTTCGATTCTTTCATTTTTCGACTTCTAGATTTTTCTATTTTTTAGTTTTGGATTTTCAGTTTTTTGTTTTTTATTTCAATTTCTCAATTTTTCAACTTTTTCATATTTTAATTTTTAAATTTCTAGATTTTTCGGTTTCTCGAGTTTCCAGTTCTATATTTTAATTTTTTTAATTTCCAATGTTTAAATTTTTTGAGATCTCAATTCATTGAGATTCGGATGTTTCGACGTTTTGATTATTCAATCTCTCGCTTTATCAATTTTTCCATATTTAAGTTTTCAATTTTTCGATTTTGGCCTATTTCGGTTTCTCAATTTTTTGATTTTTCTACTCCTCGATTTTTTTGTCTTTTGATTTTTCGATTTCTCGATGTCTCAATTTTTGAATTTTACAATGTTTCGATTTTTCGATTTGTTGGTTTTTCGATTTTTTGCTTTTCGGTTTCTCGATTTTTCGATGTTTCGATTTTTGATTTATCCGATTTTTCAATTGTCCAATTTTTTAAATTCTCGACTTCTCGATTCGTTGATTTTTCAGTTTTTCGATGATTAAATTTTAGATTTTTTTTTTTGATTTTTTGATGTTTGGATTTCTCCATTTTTCAGTTTTAGGATATTTTAACTTTTCAATGTTTTAAATTTTAGATTTTTCGATTTTTCAGTTCTTCAATATTTTTTTATTTTTCAAATTTTGACGTTTCTGAATCTTTAGTTTTCGGATTTCTCAATTAATCTATTTTTTTATATTCCCATTTCTCCACTTCCTAAAGTTTCGATTTTTCAGTTCTTCAGTTCTTCAATTTTTCGATTATTCAGGTTTTTGATTTTTCAATTTTTCGATTTTTTAAGTTTGCGATTTTTAGACTCTGCTTTTTTGACTTTTCTGTTTCTCAATTTTTTAATTTCCTAATTTTTTGATATTTTTTCGATTTCTCAATTTTAACTTTTCAATTTTTGAAATTATTAATTTTTTTCGATTTTTTGAGTTTTCAGTTCTTCTATATTTCAATTTTTCAATTTTCGGAATTTTTAAATTTTCGATTGTCCAATTTTTTTCTATTTTTCGATTTTCCAATTTTTCGATGTTTTGATGTTCGAATTAATCGGTTGTTCCATTTCTCGATTTTTAAATTTTAGATTTTCCAATTTTTATTTTTTTGATTTTTTTATGTTTCGATTTCTCGATTTTACAATTTTCCCATATTTGAATTTTTCAGTGTTTTAAATTTTCGATTTCGAGGATTTACTGTGTTACAGTAGTCATCAGTCATTACTCATCAAGAACGATTATTGCTGTGCGTTAAAATGCCTACATACTAGGCTGTTTTAAGTCTGCTAGATATAATTTTTGCAATTTTAAATTTATTTCTTGATGTCTAAATCGTATATATTTAAATGGTGATGAATATTTTGTGATACAATCTTAGGATAAAGTGCATTTTAGTTTCAAAGATAATATGTATTTAATGATTTGACTACTGTTAATAAAAAAATACGTAAGAAGATGTTCATATTGAATTAATTTGGTGTTCATAGTTTGATGATAACCCATAGATATATTACATATATGTAAAGTCTTCAACACGTACGTTTGCTTATTTTGTGACTGCTCCCCGTACAACGTACTGATTAATACGTCCGTTTACTACCTTATCAACATCACGTGCTTACGGACTATTTTTACCCCCTTTCGTAAGGTACCGCCACTCCATAGTGAAGCGAGTGAGATGTAAAATATATATTCATTCTTTTCTGCATGGGAAAGTGATTGTCCGTATAGGTTGTCCAACTATAATATACTTAAACAATGGTTGTACTTACGTTTTTCAACAACAGCTTCACTTCTTGTATTAGATCGCACTCAGAGAACTTCTCCCACGCCTGCAACGCTTTACCCTGGTTTCTGTTAACAGTAACAAAAGTTTGAAACCTCCACATGGTCGCAGCGATCGTCTTCTGAAGCTCCTGGGCACCCAATTGCGTACCATTATGTTTCAACTCAAGTTGGCACCCGTACGTTAAAATTTTTTCCACATCACCCAAACTACTACAAAAAAACTCGCTATCTGAACAACACAGAAGTCTAAACTCGTCGTCGTCGATCGTCTCCAATAAACGAATCAATTTGTAGACGTCTTCCGACGTACAGTTGGGCGTTTCCGTGATTTCACGGGCCCGAGCTTTCTGGATTAGCGCCTTATCCAGGGTAAAAAGCTGGGCGAAAATTTCCGCCTCGTCATACTTGCGTTTTTTCAGCAGTCGCTCGAGCCTCTGCTCCGGCTCGGTTTCGTTAATCACTTGAAGACGCAACTGGGTGACAGTTTCGCCTGACGTAACTTTCGAAATATACAAAATCTCTTCATTCAGCGAATCCAAAGAAATTAAATGAATGTGGTTTGAAACTTGAATTGAGAATAGTTGGTCTAAATCTACAAAAAAAACGTCAAGAGTGCGATTTAACTGTTCAAATAGTATTTATTACTAGGGTAGGAAAGTAGCTGGATGTAACTCTGCTGCGATTCGTCGTCTTTTGTCACAGCAATTATCTGTTTTTGGTTGCCGTCAGACAACACTTCCATGTCGTCAATCTTACAACAATTACCCAATGGAAAAACGAGCAAAGTGACGGCGCAGATTTTAAATAAGCCACCCTCAAAATCCAAAGCCAGAAACATACTGCAAATTACGTAATCACGACATAAAACAAAAAATAAAAAAAAACTCACTGAGTAAGAGGAAACATTTTTTTGAACTCCCAGCCCCCATCAAACTCAACACTCTCATTTTCGGTGTTCAAAATCGCCAATTCCGTACCGCTCACCACCAAAAATGGGTACTCAATTGAGGCAATTTTTGTTTTGAAATTAAATTTATGGACACACTCCATTCCAAAACACCCGTCAAAAGTCACCCTATGGACCTCCCCTGTTTTAGTGACAACCAAAAAACACCCCTTATCCACGAACGCATTAATAAAAAACCTATCGCCGTCATCGTCGCGTTCACAAGATCTAAAAACATAGTCATCAAGGGTTGAAACCTGGGGGCGAAAACCCGTACCCGCTGAAAACGCAGTTGAACTCGTGATTACAATCCAACAAGTGGACGTTTCCGTCCCTCAGACATATCAGCAAGAAATTTTTCTGCGGACAAACGCAAAACGAGTCCACTATGGACTGAAATGTCGCGTTAAAGACAACATTGGAGCACTCCCTGTCTTTAAAAATCCCGAACGAAGTATTGACACTCAAGTAAATGCTTCCTTGCGTGACAGCGTTAATGTGGGGGCGCGTCCGTCCCTTGAAAAAGCGTTACATTTTGAACCATTACACAAACAGACTTACTTGATCCGAAACAGGAATGGAAGCCAAGGTTGTAATTTCGCGCAAACTGGTGTCGTCTGACAAAACCCGCGAGCCGAAATTGATAGTTTCGTCCGCGGCATTGTATGTCTCGATTCGTTCAAAATCAACCATTGTTTTCCACAAGGGGGTACTGTTCTAGAGTTTAGTTTCACACTGCAACAGTCGTCGCGGGTCATGCGTGAACATTAAAACAAAAGCCACATACCTATTATTCACGTTCTTGTCACTAATTAATTCGATTTCTACTCTTTTTTATTCATTTTTACCATAACTGAGACAAGTTTTTACCCCTTTTATTAAAGTTTTAAACTGTCAACCAGTCAACATTCGAACCATTTTTTGAATACTGATTCCTGATTGGTTGTTGCTCGTGCAGGAAGGCCACAAAATCGCGAAACACGAAAATCCCCAACGCCAATGTGACGTCATTTTCTAGGTTATGAAACAAGACTGATTAAAATGTTAAAATTTAAAAAAGTCGTCGTCGGCGTCTCAGGCGGGGTGGACAGCGCCGTCGCCGCCCTCATCCTAAAACACAAAGGTAAACCCCACACGCACCCACCAAACCCAACCCCCGATTTCTGTTGTGATTTCTGGTTTTTACTTTTACTTCTTTTTATTAGAAAATTGGAAAATTAACTTTTGTTAATCATTTATTTATAATTATTTATATATCAATTTTTGTTACATAGCAACTGTTCCTTTTTTTTTAAGATAATTGAATATAAATTTAACACTCTTAAAATTTCATTCTCATCAACATCAACTCATTAACACCTTCTCCAAATTTTAAGGTTATGTCACTTGTTACTTGTCAATTGATGCTTGACATAAATTGTTCTTTCAGGTTTTCAAATTTAATGTTTCCAAGAGGTTTGGTAAATATGTCGGCGATTTGTTTTTCAGTTGAACAATACTTTATGTTTATAATACCTTCTCGCACCTTTTCATTTATAAAATGAAATCTTACATCTATGTGCTTGCTTCGTCGATTGAACTGTCCGGTTTTCACTATTGAGATTGCACTCTGATTATCAACGTACAAATCTATCTTCACTTCACCATTGGTAAGTTCATCAATTAGAGATTTGAGGTAAAGAAGTTCTTTAACACATTCTGCAGCAGATATATACTCAGCTTCTGTGCTTGAAAGTGAAACTATTGGCTGTTTCCTGGAACACCACGATATGGGTCCACCACAAAAAAATATTATGTACCCTGTTGTACTTCTGCGTGTTTCAGTGTCCCCTGCAAAATCTGAATCACAATAGGCAATCAATCTCTCACTGTTTTGGCCATCGTAGCACAGTCCATCATTTTGTGTAGATATTAAATAGCGAAACACTCTTTTTACTGTTACAATGTCTTGATTTGAAAAATTTTCCATTTTTCTACTACAGTAATTCACTGCATATGATATGTCTGGTCTGGTCTTGTTGTTTAAATATAATAAACTTCCAACAGCTTCTCTGAATGGATAATTAATTTTTACCATTTTATCTTCTGAACTTATATCTTGTTTGACCATGGGCGTAGGTACAGGTTTGGAGTTTTGCATATTAAATTTTTCTAAAGTTGCTTGTACATAATCTTGTTGTGAAAGTATAACTTTTCCATCATGTTTTCGAATACTAATTCCTAAAAACCTATTAGGATTTTTTTCACTTGTCATTTCAAATTCGGTTTGAAGATTTTTCAATAACGATTTCATTTCTTCTTCACATTTGCTGATCAATAATCCGTCATCTACAAAGATTGCTAATAACATGGTCTTTTCTATATTCGTAAATAAACATTGATCACTAATCAGTGGTTTTAAACCATTCAGTTTTAAAGATGTAGTAAAACGTTCATTCCATTTCATAGGAGCTTGTTTTAGGCCATATAGCGATTTCGACAATTTACACACTTTGTTTTCAGTTTGTTCACATTTGAACCCCTCTGGTACATGCATAAAAATTTCTTCTGAAATACTTCCATACAAAAATGCTGTTTTTACGTCAAATTTGGTAACTGACATATTATACTTGGCAGCCAGTGCTAACATTATTCTTACTGAGCTTATGTTCACAACTGGACTGAATGTTTCGTTGTAATCTATTCCCTTATGTTGTTGGCACCCTCTTACTACCAACCTTGCTCTATATTTTCCATTATCTTTAACTTTGAATACCCACTTGCTTGTCAGAATGCGATGTTTGTCTACTTCATTTATATTCACGTAACTCCATGTAAGATTTTTATTCAGAGATTCTTTTTCTTCACGTATAGCCTCAAGCCATTTGTCCTTTTCTGGTCCCTTGACTGCTTCTTCATAAGTTAATAACGCTTCTTCTTCAACAAAGTTTACAATATAATCTTTAAGTTTTACAGATTGTTTTAATTTTCTTCCACTTCTTGTTTCTGCGATGCCTTCTCCTCTTCTTGATTCTGTAATGCCTTCTCCTTCTCCCAAAATTATATTTTGTACTTCTATTTGATTTGGTTTTTGTCTAATGTCTTGTTCATTTTCAGTTTCGGTTTCTGAATTTTCACCTGTATTGTTTTCTTCTAGTTCTGCATTCTGTTCCTGATTTTCTTCGTCGCTTTCTATAACATTTATTTTGCTTGTTCTTCTGTAATCAGCCAAAGATTGACTACCTGGTTCATTGAAGATAACATCTCGGTGTATTTTTATTTCCTTAGATTTTTCATCCCATAAGCGGTAACCATTTGGTGCATATCCTACAAAAAGATACCTTTTACTTCTAGGGTCAAGTTTGTGTAAATTTCCCAGTGTCTTTGCATATGCTACAGAACCAAATATTTGTAATCTGGACAGATCAGGTTTCATTTTGGTCCAGTATTCTATTGGTGTTTTGTCTATTGCTTCTGTAGGACTTCGATTTAACAGATACGCTGCTACATACGCAGCTTCGCCCCAAAAATCTTTACTTAGCTTGCTGTCAAATATCATCGCTCTTGCCTTTTCCAATAAGGTTCTATTTAATCTTTCTGCTTTTCCATTTAGTTGTGGACTATGGGGTATAGAATAATCCAGAACAATGCCTTTATTTTTTGTCCAGTGTTTAAAATTCGATGACGTATATTCACCACCATTGTCACAACGTATTTTTACCACCTTTTGATTATGATAAGCTTCTGCTTCTCTAATAAAATCTTTTAAATGTTCTGATACTTCACTCTTATACTTCAATAGAAAAATTCTACAATAATGAGTATAATCATCTAACACTGTTAAAATGTATCGTTTTCCATCCCAAGTTTCAGGATCGATTGGGCCGCATACATCTGTATGTAGAATTTCTAGTGGTCTTCTTGCCCTCTGTCTCGTTGTATTAAAAGGGAGTCTTGTTTGCTTTGCTTCCATGCAGACTTCACAGAAACCCATTTGACACTTTTTTTTATTCAGTTTTACGCCTGTCGATAGATCTATTAATCTTTTTATATTCTTTGTTCCCAAATGTCCTAGCTTTCTATGCCAGTCTTTTACTGAAGTATTTTCTGCAAGATAACTCTCTTCCTTACTTTGATTTATACTAACCATATATAAACCACTTTCAATTTTTTTTCCTTCAAGTATTTTTTCATTGTTTTTCTTTATTACTACCTTTTCTTTAGTAAATGTTACTTCACCATCATTCTCTGTTATAGCATTAACTGACAGTAGATTTTTGCTTAATTCGGGTACAAAAAGTACATCATTCAGTATACATGAACTTCCTTCAACTGTTCCTTTCCCTTCTGCCTTCATTTTTTCATTCTTCTTTGCAACTTGTATGCTACTTTCGATATTTTCTAATGCTGTAAACATCACTTTCGAGTTGACCATGTGGGATGAACATCCTGAATCAACTATAAAATCTTGCGTTGTCAATCTTCTGTCTTCTGTAAGAAAGGCTATCTTCTTTTTTTCTAATGATTTTGTCTTATCTCTAAAGAAACAGTATTGCTCTTTATGGTTTGTTTTCTTGCAAATCTTGCATTGATTATTTGTCTTTTTGGGACAGTTATTTGCAATATGTCCAGAGCATCCACACTTAAAACATTTTACTTCGCCAGCACCCTTTTCTTTCCATTTTCGGCAAAATCTTGTATCATGCGAACTACTTTTACAATGTTTACAAAATCTTTCTGAACTTTTAAATGCAATATCTCTCTCACTTTCCTTGCTACGGTTTTCTTCGGATAGTAGTCTTGCTATCAATTTTGGTAAGGTTTTCTCATTATCTTGAGTAGATTCCCAGGCAGTCCTGAAGAAACCATAACTTTGAGGTAAAGATGACAGTATTTTTGACATTAACATGTTGTCATCAACTGTTTGATTTAGACTTTTTAATTTGTGTGCAATACTCTCTATTTTGCTAATGTGAGTAGCCATATCAGTACCTTTTCCAAATGTGTAGCTGTAGAACTCTTGCAGCAAATTACATATTTGTTCTGAAGTGCTTCTTTCAAAAATATTTTTGATTTTTTCGAACATTTCTTTGGAGGTGGTGCAGTCCATAATGTGCATCATGTACTTTTTGTCTATTGACGTCACAATTAGTTTTTGCGCTTTTGCATCATTTCTCACCCATTTAGTTTTGTCTTCCTCCTTTTCCACACTAGATAGAAGCTTGTCTCCATTTACTATTCCAAACAGATCATAAGCCTTAAATGTTACTACTATTTGAAATTTCCACAACTGATACGTGGTTTCATCTTTGAGCTTTTCTATTAAATTCACCTCTTCTGTCAATGCCATTATTTTTGTTTTTTTTTCTTCTTATGTCACTGTCAAATACGTTTTCTTCCTTTTCGAGTTTTATTTCTCTCGTTAAGGTTCTAAAATTTCTTCTTCTAGCTTTACTGCCTCAGTACTTGCGAGTACTCTGGGCCCATAACCTGTTGTGATTTCTGGTTTTTACTTTTACTTCTTTTTATTAGAAAATTAACTTTTGTTAATCATTTATTTATAATTATTTATATATCAATTTTTATTACATAGCAACTGTTCCTTTTTTTTTAAAGATAATTGAATATAAATTTAACACTCTTTAAAATTTCATTCTCATCAACATCAACTCATTAACAATTTCTAGGTTATGACGTCCAGGGTGTCTTTATGCAAAACTGGGACATCGCGGACGAAAAGGGGGTCTGCTCGGCCGACGCAGACTACAAGGACGCAGCCCTAGTCTGCGGCAAGCTCAACATCAAGTTAACCCACGTCAACTTCGTCAAACATTACTGGAATGAAGTGTTTTGGTAACTCCGTAAATAGTTCGCTTTTTCGTACTAAAACTAATGATGCAGCGAGCTGGTACGGGAGTACGAGAGCGGCTGCACCCCAAACCCCGACATTCTTTGTAACAGAAATGTGAAGTTTCGATATTTTTACAAGTATGCTGTGGAGAAGCTGGGGGCGGACGCTATAGCCACAGGGCACTATGCAAGGAGTAGTTTTGGTCCATTTTTGGAAAATTACGACGAGAAGAGTGGGGTGAGGTTGTACCTGGCGAGAGACTGGATTAAAGATCAGACGTTTTTTTTGTGTCAAGTGAGACAAAAAGCGCTGCAAAGGACGATGTTTCCGCTGGGGGATTTAATGAAAAGTGAGGTCAAAAGAATCGCCACAGTGAATGGGTTGGAGAAAATCGCAAAAAAGAAGGAGAGTATGGGGATTTGCTTCATTGGAAATAGAAAATTCCAGGATTTTATTAAAGAGGTACTTAAGATTTTTATTTTTGTTTTATTAATCACACTTTTATTTTTCAATTAGTACATAGAAGACAAACCTGGCGACTTTGTAGACGTGGATGACAACAAAATTGTAGGACAGCATAATGGAATCCACCAATGGACTTTAGGTCAAAGGGCACGCATACACAGCTTAGAAAAACCCTACTTCACGGCCAAAAAGGATGTAGAAACTAACACAATTTACGTGGCAAAGGGCACAAAACACCCTTTTCTCTACACAAATTTAATTTTTACGTCAAAACCGTACTGGATACATTCAAAGCCCAAGGATCTAGAGAATGGAGACATTTTGGACTGTGATTTTAAATTCCAACATACTAAACACTGGGTTCCTTGCAAGGTCTGTCAAACTGATAAAGGTTTGGTCATTAAAGTAAATAAGTACAAAAGAGCGGTAACACCTGGACAATACGCCGTCTTAGCGAAAAATGGAGAATGTCTAGGTAGTGCGAAAATCACAAACAGCGGCCCTTCACATTTCACTCTATATTATTTACAAGATAAAAAAATAAACAACGTTCCTTCAATTGTAGACAAATATGTAACAAAAATAACTGAAGAAGAAGATTACCTTACTGATAACGAAGACGTAAAAATCTGTGTGAATAGGTGAATAAATAAAATTTTATCTTCGTTTTCGGCTGTCTGGACTAGTCCTCTTCCTGTCCTCGTCGGACTCGCTATCCTCCGCTGAGTAGTCAGAGTCAGACCCACTCCTCTCCCTCTTCCTTTTCTTCTTCTTCTTTTTAGATTTTTCGCTGCCGGACTCGCTACTATCGTCGGATTTCTTCTTCTTCTTTTTCTTTTTCTTGTCTTTTTTGTGCTTCTTTTCTTTTTTCTCTTTTGGGACAGGTTCCTCCTCCTCGTCAATTTTCTCTTGTTTTATGGTGTAGATTGGCAGCCGCGGCGGCAGCTGTATTTCCGAACTAATCTGATCCACCAGAGTCTCCCTAAAATCGTCTGGGTCCTTTTTGATTTTCACTGGACCCTTGATAGGTGCTTGCACAGGGACGACTTTCGGGGCGCACCCTTCTTCGTACAACTTTTTCGTTTCTTCGTCGGTTTTCTTCCCTTGTTTGGGGATTTTGTAGTCCGTGACGTGGTCGACTCGTATTATCCTGTTCAAAATTCGTATTCCATTGAAATTGTCGACCGCTAAATCAGTCGATCTTTGATCCTCGTAGCACAAGAAGCAGAAGCCTTTGGACTTTCCCGAGTCCTTGTCGCGGATGAGGTTTATGTTGACGATTTCGCCGTACCTGGAATGGGGTTTATAGTGACGTGTTGGGGTCCCTATGTCTAGACTTACTGGGAGAAAACGCTCACAATGTCGCCTTCGGTTAAGTCGTAGGGTAAGCCCCCAATGAAAATCCAAGCGCTGCTTCGGTACTGTTCGTGCCAGGAGGTTTTGTTGCCGGTGTAAAGTTCCTGCTCGCTCAGTTTTTTCACATTTTTCATGTTCCTAAAGCAGAGTGTGAGGAGGTTGTTTGTTGGTTATTGTGTGTACTTACGTTAGTGGATTCATTTTGGCTGTTTATTTTAGTTTTTCCACTTAAAAGAATAACCAAAATAGGAGAAATGTTGTTTTTTTGAAAGTGAGGTTACGTGTGTTTGTGTTTTGACATTTGATATGAAATTACCGTTAAGATGCGTTTACGGTCGATTTATAAACTAAGCTTAACTTTCGCCATTACGTTGGGTTTTCAACCAATCAAATAGCGGTAATGTGCAATGCTGCCAACTCGAAGGAAAATCCCCTGAAGTAGGGGGGGACATTATTCGGGTTGAAAAATTCTACGAAAATCAAATTTTGATAGAGATAATGAAGTCCACTAATATTAAGCCATTTAATCACCTATTCATCTCAAAAACATATTAGGTATCACAATTGAGCTTGGAATGGATATGGGTGGGGCTTAATTTTTGGCTTGCTGTTTAATTAATACACATAGTATTCTTTGAACACGATACCAAAAACATGTTTTTTAATTCTTGTTGAGAAATACGGATTCTGAAGTTAAGCTCCGCCTTCTTGGCTCACAACGAATAAAAAAAATCATCAGAATTGAGATAGGGCGGGTGGGCGGGGCTTATAATTTGCCTTTTTTTTCTTCATATACATAGCCATCTTTTGACAACAAGAAACTTAAAACATGGTTAAAATGGTACATTTTTGCAAGGAAATACGGATTTTGCAATTAAGGGGCGGAGCCTAATTGCAAAATTGACATTCCTTATACAAATTTTCCATTTTGAACATGGTTTAAGTTTCATGTTGTGAAAAAAGTCTACACATGCTAAAACAAAAAGGAAAAATGTAAGCCCGCCCACCCACCCTGTCTCAATTGTAATGATTTTTTTCATTCGCTTTGAATCAAGGGGGCGAAATTTATCTGCAAATTATTATTTCTTTAGAAGAAATTAAAAACATGTTATTGAGTATCGTGTTGTTCAAAGAATACTATGTACATTAAGAAAAAAGCCAATATAAACCCCGCCCACCCACCCCATCTCGATTGTGATGATTTTTTTATTCTTAGAAACTTAAAACACGTTTAAAATGGCAAATTTTTGTAAGAAAATATGGATTTTGCAATTAGGCTCCGCCTCTAGGTCCGCCAACCAATGAAAACTTCATTATTATTTAGATCAGAGCAGGCATGGGTGGGGCTTAATTTTTTTGTTAATACACATAGTATTCCTTGAACAACACGGTACTCAAAAACATGTTTTTAATTTCTCGTAAGGAAATAAGGATTTTGCAGTTAAGCTCCGCCTTCTTGGCTCACGACGAATAAAAAAATCATCAGAATTGAGATAGGGAGGGTGGGCGGGGCTTATACCTATTTTGCCTTTTTTCTTAATATACATAGTGGTCTTTTCATAACAAAAAACTTAAAACATGTCTAAAATGGTTCATTTCTAGAAGGAAATATGGGATTTTGCAATTATAGGGCGGAGCCTAAATACAAAGTTGACATTTCCTTATACAAATTTTCCATTTTAAACATGTTTCATGTTGTGAAAAAAAGTCTACACATATTAAAACAAAAAGGAAGAATGTAAGCCCGCCCACCCACCCTGTCTCAATTGTAATGATTTTTTTCATTGGCCGTGAACCAATCGGGCGAAGTTTATCTGCAAATTATAATTTCTTTACAAGAAATTAAAAACATGTTTTTGAGTATCGTGTTGTTCAAAGAATACTATGTATATTAAGAAAAAAAAAAAAGAAAAAAAAAACAATTTTTTTTTTAATTCTTAGAAACTTGAAACACGTTTAAAATGGTAAATGTTTGTAAGGAAATATGAATTTTGCAATTAGGCTCCGCCCCTAGGTCTGCCAACGAATGAAAACTTCATTACTATTTAGATCAGGGCAAGTATGGGTGGCGCTTAATCTTTGAATAACACGATACTCAAAAACATGTCAAACGTGGCAATTTCTTGCCGAGAAAGAATAACGATTTTGCAATTCAGCTCCGCCCCTCGGCTTACGACCAATAAAAAAATCATCAGAATTGAGACAGGGTGGGTGGGCGGGGCATATATTTTGCTTTCTTTTTTAATATACACAGTCGTCTTTTCAGAACAAGAAACTTAAAACATGTTTAAAATGGTAAGTTCTTGTCGACAAATATGGATCTTTCAATTAAGCCCCGCCCCTCGATCTGACAAACGAATGAAAAATTCATCACAATTAAGAATTGAGATCGGAGTGGATATGGGTGGGACCTAATCTTTGGCTTATTTTTTTTGTTAATATAAATAGTATTCTTTGAATACTTAAAAACATGTTTTTAATTTCTCGTATAGAAATAAGGATTTGGCACTTAACTCCGCCTTCTTGGCTCACGACGAATAAAAGAAATCAGCAGAATGGGGATACGGCGAGTGGGCGGGGCTTATATTTTGCCTTTTTTTTTCTCCTTATTTACATAGGCATCTTTTCATAACAAGAAACTTAAAACGTGTCTAAAATGGTACATTTCTGGAAGGAAATATGGATTTTGCAATTATGGGGCGGAGCCTAAATACAAAAATTGACATTTCCTAATACAAATTTTCCATTTTAAACATGTTTCATGTAGCGAAAAGAAGTCTACACATATTAAAACAACAAGGGCAAAATGTCAGCCCGCCCACCCGCCCTGTCAGTTGTAATGATTTTTTTATTCGCCGTGAACAAAGGGGGCGGAGCTTAACTGCAAAATCCTTATTTCTTTACAAGAAATTAAAAACATGTGTTTGAGTATCGTATTGTCCAAAGAATATTATGTATATTTAGAAAAAAAGCCAAAAATAAACCCCGCCCACCCACCCTATCTCAATCGTGATGATTTTTTCATTATGGTAAATTTTTGTAAGGAAATATGGGTTTGGCAATTAGGCTCCGCCCCTGGGTTTGCCAACGAATGGGGCAGGTATAGGTGGGGCTTAATATTTGGCTTTCATTGTTTCTTAATATGCATAGTATTTTTTGAAAAACTCAAAAACATGTCTTACGTGGTAATTTCTTGTAGAGAAATAATAACGGTTTTGCAATTAAACTCCGCCCCTCGGCTTACGACCAATAAAAAAAAATCATGAGAATTGAGATTGGGTGGGTGGGCGGGGCTTATATTTTGCCTTTTTTTCATATGTGCGTGGTCGTCTTTTCAGAACAGCGTAAGGCTTAAAGTTTGCTTTTAATTTTTTGTTAATATACATGGTACTCTTTGAACAACACGATACTCAAAAACATGTTTCTAATTTCTCGTATAGAAACAAGGATTTTGCAGTTAAGCTCCGCCCTCTTGTCTGACAACGAATAAAAAAAATCATCACAATTGAGACAGGGCGGGTGGGCGGGCTGACATTTTACCTTGTTTTCTTAGTATGTGTAGACTTATTTCGACAAGAAACATAAAAATGTCCAAAATGATAAATTTTTGTAGTAATCAACCTAAATCCGCCACTTTTCTCCTATAACCCCTAAAAGTTAACATCAAAGTTACTATCAACGGCAACTTGGCAACAGAGTCTATAAATGACAATTTTCAGCTCTAAAACTTACGTTAGCGGAAGCAACTTCAACAAGTTGTAAACCCCACTTTACGTTCATACCGTTCTTATAAACCCGCGTTTACGCACGATATGGGGACGGGATGATTTAATTCTTGGTATTTTTATATAAAAAAGATGTAATCTGCTTAAAATAACAATATCACAGTGCAAATACGAGATCGATGAACACAGAAAAAAATAAAATTCAACAAGACACATAAAAATATAAATATAAAACGTGTAAAAAGTGCAGGTACTTAAGTTATTCGTTCAACTCCACGCTTCTGGACTCCGCCAATAACTTAATCAAATTATTAACTTCCGCTGCAAGCTCTCTCGTTTCTACTTGTAGCTCCAGGACTCGCCGATTGGCGGCACTTTCATCGACAACGCCACGTTTCTCCTTTTCTAGTTCATCTTCAATTTTTTTAATTAGATTATCCATGGCTTCCAAACCCGTTGTTAGGTTAAGATCTTTCAAATACGTTTGCGGCTTGTCGAAACTGCTCACCTGGAAAGGGAAATTATGAGAGAAACGCGACGATTTCGACTTACGGTTCTAATCTCATTGGCCAAATCTTGTTGATGCTTGTCAATGGTAGACGCAGGTGTCGTACTGGTCGAAGTTCCGTCAGGCAACAATTTCTCTATTTTGTACTTATTTTTCAATAACTGCGAATAATTACGCAGCAGCTCATCTTCGACTTTCGTCAGCTCGTAATCTTTTTCTTTTTTCTGAAAACTGACATCGTTTAAAAGACTGTTCAAATACTTCTGGCGACTTTTCTTTTGTTCTTCTTTAGCGATTTTGTTTTTGAGGGACGCCACCACTTTATCTTCTGCGTTGAACTGTTCGCGTAATTTCGCAATTCTTTCGTAGTGGGTTTGAACGCGGTCTTGCTCTTCTAACAACTGCTTTCTGATGGCGTTTTCCATTTCTGTCAAACACAAGCGCCACTATTTTATCACTTCGGTGTAGTATCAGATAATTTACCTAAAATCCGCCTATTCTCTTCCTCTTGCACCCCAAAATCCTGCAACCTGTCCAAACTCACTAATCGCTGTCTGAACAAATCAACTTCGTCCCGTTTCAACTTCCCCGCTTCCTCGGTCATCTCTCTACTTTTCGCCGCTTTCATATCTACGATCGTTTTCGGATAGTCACAAAAGTTCGGGTACTCCCCCATTTTAATTTTTTGGAACATATTTAAATATTGGCGCGGATGAATCGAGGCACTCGTATTGGCTAAAATTTGGTAGCTTTTGGCTAGCAACCTCTTTACATCTACAGGGTGATGGGTGTTATAAAAGCAGCGAAACTGTTTCTCATCTTTAAGACTGAATAAAACCGCCCTGTGTAAAATATTGTAGGCGACAACCCCACACAGCAGAAACGAAGGCTCATTGGTCAGAACATGGTCCCAGAAGACTCTCCAAGAGGGCGCTGCTAAAATTTCGGAAAACGTGGTTTTTAAAATGGGCCACGCGTATATTTCAGCTGTAATGTTTTTCTTGGTGAGGTGGTCGAGGAGTTCGGGGTCGTGCTCCATGAGGACGTTTTCGACCATGGCGAGAATATTAATAGGAGGTAGCGGGAAGTACTCAAACCAGAATTGGCACCAATTGACTGAAATATTTCAGTTGGTAGAACTGACTTATATTAAGTATGACCATTGTTTAAGTATATTATAGTAGGACAACCTATACGGACAATCACTTTCCCATGTAGAAAAGAATGAATATATATTTTACATCTCACTCGCTTCACTATGAAGTGGCGGTACCTTACGAAAGGGGGTAAAAATAGTCCGTAAGCACGTGATGTCGATAAGGTAGTAAACGGACGTATTAATCAGTACGTTGTACGGGGAGCAGTCACAAAATAAGCAAACGTACGTGTTGAAGACTTTACATATATGTAATATATGCATATGTAGTGCATACCTGTTTCAAGGTTAAGGTAACAAAAATTTAATATTATCGCGGTAAAAATTTAATATTATCCATGAACTGCATGGTTAACAAATATGCGTCCCTTCGTCCACTTTAAAGGTACGAAATTAAACGTCCACTACTTTAATTAATAAGTAACAAGTCATCTAATTTGCCTCCAGAATAACTATGAGTTATCATCAAACTATGAACACCAAATTAATTCAATATGAACATCTTCTTACGTATTTTTTTTATTAACAGTAGTCAAGTCATTAAATACATATTAGCTTTGAAACTAAAATGCATTTTATCCTAAGATTGTATCACAAAATATTCATCACCATTTAAATATATACGATTTAGACATCAAGAAATAAATTTAAAATTGCAAAAATTATACTAAAACAGCCTTAAATGTGTCTTGTATGTACGTGCTTTTCAGTATGTAGGCATTTTAACGCACAGCAATAATCGTTCTTGATGAGTAATGACTGATGACTACTGTAACACAGTAAATCCTCGAAATCGAAAATTTAAAACACTGAAAAATTCAAATATGGGAAAATTGTAAAATCGAGAAATCGAAACATAAAAAAATCAAAAAAATTAAAATTGGAAAATCTAAAATTTAAAAATCGAGAAATTGAACAATCGGTTAATTCAAAAATCAAAACATCGAAAAATTGGAAAATCGAAAAATAAAAAAAAATTGGACAATCGAAAATTTAAAAATTCCGAAAATTGAAAAATTGAAATATAGAAGAACTGAAAACTCAAAAAATCGAAAAAAATTAATAATTTCAAAAATTGAAAAGTTAAAATTGAGAAATCGAAAAACTGAAAAATCACAAAATTGAACGAAATATCAAAAAATTAGGAAATTAAAAAATTGAGAAACAGAAAAGTCAAAAAAGCAGAGTCTAAAAATCGCAAACTTAAAAAATCGAAAAATTGAAAAATCAAAAACCTGAATAATCGAAAAATTGAAGAACTGAAGAACTGAAAAATCGAAACTTTAGGAAGTGGAGAAATGGGAATATAAAAAAATAGATTAATTGAGAAATCCGAAAACTAAAAATTCAGAAACGTCAAAATTTGAAAAATAAAAAAATATTGAAGAACTGAAAAATCGAAAAATCTAAAATTTAAAACATTGAAAAGTTAAAATATCCTAAAACTGAAAAATGGAGAAATCCAAACATCAAAAAATCAAAAAAAAAAAAAAATCTAAAATTTAATCATCGAAAAACTGAAAAATCAACGAATCGAGAAGTCGAGAATTTAAAAAATTGGACCATTGAAAAATCGGATAAATCAAAAATCGAAACATCGAAAAATCGAGAAACCGAAAAGCAAAAAATCGAAAAACCAACAAATTGAAAAATCGAAACATTGTAAAATTCAAAAATTGAGACATCGAGAAATCGAAAAATCAAAAGACAAAAAAATCGAGGAGTCGAAAAATCGAGAAGTCGAAAAATCAAAAAATTGAGAAACCGAAATAGGCCAAAATCGAAAAATCGAAAACTTAAATATGGAAAAATTGATAAAGCGAGAGATTGAATAATCAAAACATTGAAACATCCGAATCTCAATGAATTGAGATCTCAAAAAATTTAAACATTCGGAAATTAAAAAAATTAAAATATAGAACTGGAAACTCGAGAAACCGAAAAATCTAGAAATTTAAAAATTAAAATATAAAAAAGTTGAAAAATTGAGAAATTGAAATAAAAAACAAAAAACTGAAAATCCAAAACTAAAAAATAGAAAAATCTAGAAGTCGAAAAATGAAAGAATCGAAGTATTGAAAAATATCAAAACTGAAAGAAATATCCAAAAATTGAGAAATCGACAAACCAATGAAGCGAAGTCGAAAAATCGAAGAATTGAAGAACTGAAAAATCGAAACTTTGAGAAGTGGGAAAATCAAAAATAGATTAATTGAAAAATCAGAAAACTGAAAATTTAACGCAAAAATTTGAAAAATTGAAAAATTTAAATACTGAAGAACTGAAAAGTCAAAAAATCGAGAAATCGAAAAAACTAAAATTTAAAACAATGAATACGCAAAATTGAAGAATCGAGAAATCCAATTCAATCTGAAAAATTGAAAAATCGGGGCATTGAAAAATTCGAAAATCCAGAAATTGAAAAGCTCAAAAGAAAAAAATCGAAAAACCGAGAAATCCAAAAATCGAAACATCGAAAAATTCAAAAACTGAGACTTCGAGAAATCGAAAAATCGGAGGATCGAGAAACTGAGGAGTCGGAAGCCGAAAAGGAAAGTTAAAAAAGAAAAATTGAGAAATTGAACAATCAAAACAACGAAACATCTGAATTCGATAAATTGAGAAATTAAAAAATTTAATAATCGAAAAATTTTAAAAAAGAAAAACTGGAAAATCAAAAATTAAAAATCAAAAAACCGAAAAATTGAAATATCGAAGAACTGAAAACTCGAGATATCGAAAAACCTAGAATTTTAAAAAATGAAATATTAAAACATCGAAAAGTTTAAAAATTGAGAAATCGAAGCATTAAACAGTCGCAGAATTGAAAAATCTAAAGTTTACAATAAATTGAAAATCCAAAAAGGAAAAAAGCGAGAAATCAAAAAAAATCCATCAATTCAAAAATCGAAAAGTCGAAAAATTGAAATATTGAAAAATCTCATAACTGAAAGAAATATTCAAAAAATTGAGAAATTAAAAAATTGGAAAATTGAGAAATCGAAAATCTAAAAAAGCAAAATTGAAAAATCGTAATCTTAAAAAATCGAAAAATTGAAGAATTGAAAATGTGAAAAGTCGAAACTTTAGGAAATCCAGAAATGGACAAATAAAAAAAATACTTTAGAAATCGGCGAACTGAAAATTTAGAAACGTGAAAATTTGAAAAATTGAAAAATCCAAGTATTTAAAAACCGTAAAATTGAAGAGGACAAAAATTGAGAAATCGTATCATTGAAACATCGTAAGATTGATAAATCGAAAAATAAAAAAATCGAGAAATAGAAAATTTAAGGAATGGAGGAATCGGAAAAGCCCAAAATTGAAATATTGAAAAATTGAGACATTTAAAGTTGAAAAATCGAGAAATCGACAAGCCGAAAAATCCCAATAGCGTATTTAGGTATAAATCACAAGATCAGGACTATTCTACTTTTTAAAATTTAAATAACATTATAAATTGGAAAATGTTGATTTTTTTCCAAAAATCTTGACGTCTAAGGTGAAAACTCGACACGGATGCATAAACCGTAAACGGGGCGAAACTACAATTTTACTATTGTAAAATTTGGAGATTGCGTCATGTCATTGTTCGTGACAAATTTTGGAGAGTGTAATTTGATAATACAATTTGAAATGTAAATTTTGTCATTCGGGAACATTATGTATTAAATCGTTAAGATGTTCAAGAACTTTGTTCACTTATTCGTTGTAAAGTCCAGTGGTCGAAATGGGTTAGTTCTTCGTAGTGGATGTGTATCAGATCAACTCTAACGAATATTGGTTTATAGATAAATGGCTTAAAGCCGATATTGGCCTGAGTGTATTTTAGTCTGTAGATCAAACAAGTTTTCAGGCGACGAAAAGTTGTATGTGGAGGGAGACTTCGGATTACAAATCGTACCAAGAAAGACATATTTGGGAGAGATGGATTTTCAGGTGCTTGACTAGCGGTAATTTTAAATTGTTTGCTGTCGTTCGCGAAGTGAAGAACACAATTTCATTAAAATGATAATTATAAAATTATCATAATCACTACTGGTATTAATTAACACAAAATGGCGCGCAAGTTATCAGTTGATTTCGTTAATAAATTCATAGAAACCTGTAAGGGATTTTTTCATGCCTTAGAAAATTAAAAAGTAAAAAATACAATAACAAAAATTTTAAAATGCGGTTTACGAAAAATTAGTTGACCTGTGCAAAGAAGAAAATTTTGGAAACGCTGACAAATATGACATCTTAAAAAAAAATAACACTTGAAGAAGTGCTTTCGGCGTAATATTTTTGATGCTCGCGTGAACAAAATACTCTATGTCAGTGTGCAGTGCGCAAAGAGTTAACTGTGCAGATCTAGCCGAAAATCCGAAAACCAAATCGCTGTGTGTAGGGCTAGCATAACGGAAGTAATAAATCATCCCATCGGTTGAAGAACGTTGGGTCGGTGCACTGATGTCGGTGTTATATCCCGAGAGAGGCCCAATACACCCAATAAAATCGAACAGACAAAATAAAGCTTCAAACATGATTATTTTTATACTAAAATTCTGACGTTTATAAACTGCACATTTTATTTATTTATTTATTTTATCTTGTTTTCGAACTATAATAAACATTTCAAACAATGTCTGTAACTTATTTTAATGTAAATTATATTCATGTGGTTAACAAAATCAGTTGTAATATTAGTGTGATTTTGACCTTATTTTAGATTTTATTACAGCAGAACGGCGTATCCTTTTTAAATTTTAGAAGTTACGGAAACTAGTTGAAGAAACAATTAGTTATCTCGTATTTTTGGAACAAAATCTACCAAAATGTCCGATAACAGCAATTGTTTTTCATAGAAACAAACAGTCTTCAAAGCAGCCTCGATATTACAAACATGCCTCTTAATTTCTTAATGCGTTTTTTTCTCTCTTGTAATTATTTGTAATGTTAACGCCGAAAGTTTATGTCATTCTGTTATTTACTTTGAACATATATTTTCATTTTGTGTTAATATTTTTGTAACACCACGAATCTAAATTTTACTTAAAATCTTGTTTTACTTTAATCTTGTAAAACTAAACAATTATACCAGTTTAAAAACCCTTGGAAAGTTTCTGTCAGTCTTCAGATATAGTCAAATAAAAATAGGCGTCAAATTCATTTAAATTCAATTCTTTCGTATCACGTTACAACGCGTTACTTCATATTTTTTATGTCAAGTATATTTTCGTATTTTGTACATATATGTTTATACACATTACTGTTTACGGAACAACGTTAATTATGGATTTATGGATAACTCCTCGTATAAGAGCAGAGTGAAGGGTGTTTGCCTTTGCTAATGTTTGATGGCGCCATCTGATTTAGAGTAAAATAAACCTAATACGTTGGCTCACTGTAGTGAAAATGCGCGTTGACGAAAAATTTGTCCCACGCCCCCTGGATTCCTTGTCCTAAAGCTCACTATTTAGGCGAAGTAAAATTTGTATTAGGTTGTCCAACTATAATATATGTACTTAAACAATGGTATGACCTTCCACTTACTAATAATAGTGCAAACCGCCTCAAAACACGTGAGCGGCTTGTTAGCGAAGACTTTCACAAACGGGAACACAAATAGTGGCAGGTAGTCAACATGGAAGAAAAACGGACACCACGTGACCAAATTATCCAATAACTGTTTGAGATTTTTAAGACACCTCTTGTCTTGTAGTGGATACTTTTGGCACAACCCGTCGAACGAAATAATCATTCTATTATTAATAATGGCGTTGTATTGTCGCTTATTGTTTGGAAGCTCCAACAAATGCTCCCATATTTTCTTCCTATAACTATCCGGATACTCCCCGCACTCCTTCAGGATCATCCGCAGCTTCTCGATCTCGAGAATCTCCCTAATCTGCTAACCATTAGGTTTAGTCTGCGGTCCGCGCCAACTCACCTTCTCCTTAACCACACCCATTTTTTCCAAACACTTCTTTAATCGGACACTACGACCCGGCGTCTCCGCCCTCACAGCTCTCAATTTAACAGGAACCACGATGTAGTGCACCACGTCGTAGATATTAACGTCACCCGAGCACAGCAAGCACACGAAGAAGTTGCTTTTGCTCGAGAAATCGTACTTGGAGATTTCGTAGTCCGCCACCAGCTCGCTGACGATGATGTTCTGCTCGAAGTCGTAGAAATGGACGGAGCCGCGACCCGACAACACGGCGACGAGCTTATTGGAGCCGCCGTCGTTGGGCTGGGGGACGAAATCGACGTGTTTGAGCGTCTGTACGTACTCGGGGAGGGTGATGAACTTGAGTAGCTTGAAAGTGCTTAGGAGGAAGAGGGCGAGGTGGTGGGGGCGGCAGCCAAGCACCATGATTTTACCGTCTCTTCAAGAAAAATCGTTAAGTGTGATTTCGTAAAATTTAGCAACAACGTACAACGTAAATGTGATATTTTTCACCTCATGGTTGAACCACACAAGAGGTGGTATGTTATTTTTGACTTCGAACGTGCCAAATTGCCAAATTTGGATGCAATCGTCGTTGAAACAGGTGAGGATGTCGTTCGTGACTGGAATGAAAGAAACCTACAACGGATTTTGGTTATTTGAAAACGCGTAAATGTTACACCTACATATTTCAAGGTACAACTGTGTGTTAAATTCAACACCTGTATTTTCGTGTTTGTTTCGAGATTCCACAATATCGCTTCGTTTATGGACGACGTGAGACACAAAAAGTCACTGGCGAACGAAACGTAGGACACGGGGCACTCGTGCCCCACTAGTTCCGCTGACAGAAAGCCCGTCTGGATGTCTACTACGGAGATCCGCCCGGTGTGCGCCCCCACTAGAATTTCGTTCTCTTTGAAATGCGAAAATTTGATTATTGTGCACGAGTTGAGTATTCTTGGGAGGTTCCAGAACTTGTGGCTGCTGAAATCTATCACGAAAATGTTGCCTTCGTTGTCTGCGAGAACCAGAAACTGGCCGCTTTTATGGAACGAACTGTTAATGAAGCGGATTTTTTGCGAGTTTTGTTCGGTGTGGTGCAGGTTGAGGATTAGGCTGAAACTGATTGTAGTGGAAAAAAGGACACAGTTAGTTGTTACCCGTTTCTCTGAGGGGGCTTCAAGTCGAAGAGTTTCTTGTAGATGCGGCTCTGCTTGCTCAGATTCAGGTTCATGGTCTATTTCGGGTTTCCGCAGTCCTAGAGTGCCATTCTTGCCCCAGTTCCGAGAATATTCGCGTTTGGGTTAATTTAGGTTAGGTACGGAAATTTGACGTTTCTCGATGGTCGTGATTGGTTGCTAGGATAAAGGGGCATTCACACTTGATACTATGATTGTTATGTAAGCGGTCACTCACCTTTCTTATCGATTCGACTGATAAAAATCAGAATGCGCTTTGTCAAAACAATTTATTTAAAATCCGTGAATTAAATTACATTCGTGAATGAATAAAGTAAATAAAAGCTCATAAAACAAAGTAACCGTTCAAAGAAATATCAGCGAAGAGAGCGAATTACTCCGATATCACTTTGAGAGACGTCAGGAAAATTCAATGAAAACATAAATACACTCGTGTATTTTTAGTATAGCATATCACTTAAAGTACAATTTATTTCTCAAATATTTACAATCTACAAACCACTCGTTGCTTAAGCTTAGCTTTCGCCGTTACGTTGTTGACCTTGGATTTTCAACCAATCAAATTGCGGTAATGAGCAATGCTGCCGACTTGAAGGAAAATACCCTGAAGTAGGGGGGGGGGGCATTTTTCTGGTTGACAGCACTAATTGCACGAAAATCAAATATTGATGGAGGTAATGAGGTCCTCTAATATTAAGCCAATTAATCACCTATTCGTCTCAAAATCATATTAGGTATTATGACTAACTTGTAGAGAAATACAGATTTTGCAGTTAAGCTCCGCCTTCTTAGCTCACGACGAATAAAAAAAATCATCAGAATTGAGATAGGGCGGGTGGGCGGGGTTTATATTTTGCCTTTTTTCTTTATATACATAGCCATCTTTTCACAACAAGAAACTTAAAAAATGGTTAAAAGGGTACATTTTTGCAGGGAAATATGGACTTTGTAAGTTTCATGTTGTGAAAAAAAGTCTACGCATACTAAAACAAAACAAAAAAATAAGCCCGCCCACCCACCCTGTCTCAATTGTAATGATTTTTTTATTCACCGTGAACCAAGGGGGCGAAGTTTACCTGCAAATTATTATTTCTTTACAAGAAATTAAAAACATGTTTTTGAGTATTGTGTTGTTCAAAGAATATTATGTATATTAAGAAAAAAATCCAAAATTTAAACACCGCCCACCCACCCTATCTCGATTGTGATGATTTTTTTTATTCTTAGAAACTTGAAACACGTTCAAAATGGTAAATTTTTGTAAGGAAATATGAATTTTGCAATTAGGCTCCGCCCCTAGGTCTGCCAACGAATGAAAACTTCATTACTATTTAGATGAGGGCAAGTATGGGTGGCGCTTGATCTTTGAATAATAGTATTCTTTGAATAACACGATACTCAAAAACATGTCATACGTGGCAATTTCTTGACGAGAAAGAATAACGATTTTGCAATTAAGCTCCGCCCCTCGGCTTACGACCAATAAAAAAATCATCGGAATTAAAACAGGGTGGGTGGGCGGGGCATATATTTTGCCTTCTTTCTTAATATACGCAGTCGTCTTTTCAGAACAAGAAACTTAAAACATGTTTAAAATGGTAAATTCTTGTAGACAAATTTGGATCTTGCAATTAAGCCCCGCCCTTTGGTCTAACAAACGAATGAAAAATTCATCACAATTGAGAATTGAGATCGGGGCGGGTATGGGTGGGGCCTAATCTTTGGCTTAATTTTTTGTTAATATAAATAGTATTCTTTGAATAAGACGATACTCAAAAACATGTTTTTAATTTCTCGTAGAGAAATAAGGATTTTGCAGTTAAACTCCGCCTTTTTGGCTCACGACGAATAAAAAAACATCAGAATAGGGATAGGACGGGTGGGCGGGGCTTACATTTTGCCTTTTTTCTCCATAGCCATCTTTTCGTAACAAGAAACTTAAAACATGGTTAAAATGGTACATTTCTGGATGGAAATATGGATTTTGCAACAATGGGGCGGAGCCTAAATGCAAAATTGACATTTCCTTATACAAATTTTCCAGTTTAAACATGTTTCATGTAGCGAAAAGAAGTCCACACATATTCAAACAAAAAAGGCAAAATGTAGGCCCGCCCACCCGCCCTGTCTCAATTGTAATCATTTTTTTATTCGCCGTGAACAAAGGGGGCGGAGCTTAACTGCAAAATACATATTTCTTTACAAGAAATTAAAAACATATGTTTTGAGTATCATGTTGTTCAAAGAGTACTAAGTATGTTAAGAAAAAAAAAGCCAAAAATGAACCCCGCCCACCCGGATCTCAATCGTGAAGATTTTTTATTATGGTAAATTTTTGTAAGGAAATGTGGATTTTGCAGTTAAGGTTTGCCAACAAATGAAAACTTCAGTACTATTTACATTAGGACAGGCATGAGTGGGGCTGCAAAAATTTGATTATTGTGCATGAGCTGAGTATTCTTGGGAGGTTCCAGAACTTGTGGCTGCTGAAATCTATGACGAAAATGTTGCCTTCGTTGTCTGCGAGAACCAGAAACTGGCCGCTTTTATGGAACGAACTGTTAATGAAGCGGATTTTCTGCGAGTTTTGTTCGGTGTGATGCAGGTTGAGGATTAGGCTGAAACTGATTGTAGTGGAAAAAAGGACACAGTTATTTGTTACCCGTTTCTCTGAGGGGGCTTCAAGTCGAAGAGTTTCTTGTAGTCTATTTCGGGTTTCCGCAGTCCTAGAGTGCCATTCTTGCCCCAGTTCCAAGAATATTCGCGTTGGGGTTAATTTAGGTTAGGTACGGAAATTTGACGTTTCTCGATGATCGTGATTGGTTGCTAGGATAAAGGGGCATTCACACTTGATACTATGATTGTTATGTAAGCGGTCACTCACCTTTCTTATCGATTCGACTGATAAAAATCAGAATGCGCTTTGTCAAAACAATTTATTTAAAATCCGTGAATTAAATTACATTCGTATTTTTTTTTTCACATATGTTATACAAATAAACAGATTCTATACAATGAATAAAGTAAATAAAAGCTCATAAAACAAAGTAACCGTTCAAAGAAATATCAGCGAAGAGAGCGAATTACTTCCGATATCACTTTGAGAGACGTCAGGAAAATTCAATGAAAACATAAATACACTCGTGTATTTTTAGTATAGCATATCACTTAAAGTACAATTTATTTCTCAAATATTTACAATGTACAAACCACTCGTTGACTCACACACAAATCTTCTCCTTAGTCAAAAACAAAAAACGGATGACGGTTTTATTGAATCATGCTAAGTAACTGTAGGTGTCTTTCTGGCCTTCGGTTCGCTCTAGATATTCCTTTTCAATGAGTATGTCTATACATTTCTGTAAATAAACCACAATGACGAAAAATTACGATTTCGCGCGACACCTACTTTAATTATGTGGACTCGTGGCTTAAACCTCGACGACAGCTGATTGAGGACCTCCGCCACCAGCTGCTGATGCTTCAGAATCTTCCGCATTTTCATGATCCGCACGATAGCCGCCTGAATCAGCAACTTCCGGTCCTCCTCGATGTGCTTGTGGGTGGTTTCCTGCTCCATCTTCAGCTCGGTCTTCATCGGAATATTGATATTCACCCGGAGTTTTTTACTACGAACGAAATTACAACAACTGTTCAGTCTTTTTCTAACTTACTTTTTATATCCTAAGAAAAGATTCACTACGGAGTTTGGAGAAAGATCGTTCTCGTCGTCCTCGCACGTGATCAACTTCGCCTTAAGTAATATCTGTATGACCTGAATTAGAAAGTCGGTTTTGATTTGTGTGTTTTCCTCAAGCTGGGATATTGTCCAACTTTCCGCGACGTTAAACTGGAGAAGCACAGCCATTTGGAACGTACTAGCTTGGAGTGTGTACCTATTTTTGAAACAGTTTGTGTGTAGTTCTCCTTTGGACATGTTGTAGAGCCAGTTCAGCTTCCTGCCTGAATGCTGGCCGGAGTAGAAATTTGTAAATCTATGAACACTTCTTTCAAGCTGCAACGAACCGATTAAAGCGAGTTGAGTTAGTTTGACGAAAGTACCTCTGTGGGTAAACCGAAAGTGAACGATTGTTGGAAAGGCCATGATCCTGAAGATAACACTTGGATACTGAAGTCTATGTCTAGGGTTTCGTTTGATTTTGACAGGTGGCTTTTGAATTGCTCGTTCAGATCTTTGGAGACTCCGATATCCTGGAATAGCGTGACGATCAAGTAATCGGGTCGCTAGTTCGCAACATACCTGGAACATCCTCTGCAACTTGGACGTATACTCAAACCCGCAAGCTTGTTTCAGTTTTGAGATCATTGAAGCTTCAGCGTCATCACTAGCTGACATGTGTTGTACAAGTCGCTTCGCCAGCATTTTACTATAGAACTTCTGAAAGACATCTTTATCTTCGATATATTTGAACACAACCATCTTGAATAAAAATTAAATCAACCAATCATACGACCGTGCACACCCCCCACTACACTTACGACTTGGTTTAACGTATCTTCAAGCTCCGCCTCCTCGGGATTCTTGCTCGACTTCTTCAACAACAAATCACAATACTTCGCCAGCAACTCCGGCGACTTACTACTAGAATTGGCCTTCTTCGTCACAGCGTTGGCGTTGATGAACCTCCCGCACGCCTTATCCAAAGCTGCCACGAACCCGCTATCATTATTAAAAGCAATCAAAACAAGAGCGTTATATTTCTTGTGGACTTCTAAAATCGTATTAACATAAATCTTAGGATCCTGCAAGGAAAACCATGAATTGGAATCCGCAAAAACACCGCTACCCACATTATGTGCACTTTCCCCGCATTTCTCTATAGCTGAGAGCCCCTGAGCCGCGATGTGCTGCTCGAGGAGCGTCCTCAGCTCGCCCAAGCCGTCGGGAATTCTCGCCACCAGCGAGTACATCCGACCCAAGTCGTCGTCCTTGTCGGCGTCGAGCAGCTGCTGGAACTCGGCGTGGAACATATCCAAGTGTTTCTTAATCAAGACCTTTTCGCAAGTCTTAGCTAAACGATTGCTGGTGGTCTCGTGCAAATACACCTGGACGCGTTTCTGTTCTTCCAGTAACCGCTGCTCGGCTTTTTTCATATATTCAGTGACCGGATTCTGCGCCAAGAAGTTGCTGCTTTCTTTGAGATAAAAGCGTTCAGTGTCCTCCAGGAACATGTTCTCGAAGCTTTCTTTGTAGACAGACAAGTTCGGTCCTTTAGCCCCTGGCTCTTCTTCGTTCAGACCCAACTCCACGTAACAGTTTATCACTCCTGATACCAAACGAGTGTTAATAGTTTCGCCGTTTCTCTCCCGCTCGATCAGTTTCAAAACCGCCGTAGTCACCTAAGTAGTTGAAATCAGTTTCGCCGGAAAACACACCAACCCGACCAACACACCTGCTTGTTCAACTGTTTGAAAAGATGATCCCTCCATGTCACCAGCGCCAACTGGTAGATTTCGTATATCCCCTTTCTGCCTTCTTCGCATTCCCGCTTCACCCAGTGTCGATTCAGATATGAACAAATTCCGTTCAGCACTTTGCTGCTGAACTGATATTCTTCCCACTGTCGCGTGTAAAATTTCAGAACGCCTTCGCCCATCCGATTCATTCCGTCCTGAAGAGAAAAGATCGGTTTGTCACGTGTTTCGGTATGCTTTGTGGTGCCGAAATCGATAGATAACGTGCTCGTTTGGCGGATAATGGAGGAAGGCACAATAGGAACTGTAATTAACTGGATGGCGTCATAAAGACATTAGTGGATCGGATTTCGGAGATAATTGCGACAATTTGCGGATTGCGACGGAAGCGGACCGGGGACTGAACACGGTTGCGTAAAAGACGAGGTGCGACCGGGTTTTTACAGTGTAAGTCACGTGTCCGGTTCGGTTTTGTCGGATACGATCATTTTCAATAATAGTATTTTGATGGTAATTGTAAAAAGGCTTCCATTGTCTTTATTTACTGTATTTAATACTCAAAATTAAGTAAATAATATTTTTTTTTCTGCTTTTCGATTTACGATTTGAAATTTTTGAATTTTTAAATATGTATTTGATTTTTCGGATTCTTGCTTTTTCGTTATTCCACTTTTCGGTTTTTCAAGTTTCAACTTGTTTATTTTTTTAATCAAATTTTGAAAAATTGAAAAACCGAAAATTTGAAAAAACGAAACTTGAAAATTGAAACATAAAAATTAAGAATTTGAAAAACTAAAAATCGATTGATTGCAAAATTGTAAAATTGAAAAATTAAAAAACTAAAAAATCAAAAATTGGAAAACCGAAAAATTGTGCAATCGAAAATAAGAAAAATAAAAAAATTGTCAAATCGAGACAGTGAAAAAACTCAGAAAATTGAAAAAACAAAATTGGAAAATCACAAATGGAAAAACTGAATAAATGAAGAATTAAAAAAGCAAAAGTCAAAAAATCCAAAATTAAAATTCAAGAAACTGAAAAATCGAAAAATTAAAATATCTATAAATTCAAAAATTGAAAAATTTAAACTTGTAAACTCGAAACATTTCAAAATAAAAATTGAAAATGTGAGAAACAGAAACCTTAAAAATTTAAAAATCGAGAAAAAAAATCAAAAATTGAAAAATCGTAGAATCGAAAAAGTGAAGAAACAAAAAATTGAAAAACCGAAAAATTGAAAAATTGCAAACCAAAAAACCAGAAACTTGAAAGCTTTCAAAACATAAATAAAAAAATGAGATTGTTCTTAAAACATCGAAAATTAAAAAATCTAGAAATAAAAAAAAAAGAAAGAAAAATCCCAAAATCGAAAGAACATTGAAAAAACAAAATTGGAAAAACGGAATAAATGAATAATTAAAAAAGCAAAAGTCAAAAAATCAAAAAATTCAAAATTTAAAAACCTGAAAAATCGAAAAATTAAAATATCTAGGAATTCAAATATGAACAATTTAAACTCGTAAACTCGAAACATTTCAAAAAAAAAAAAATTTAAATTTAAAAATTAAAAAAATCAAAAATTGAAAAATCGTAGAATCGAAAAAGTGAAGAAACAAAAAATTGAAAAACCGAAAAATTGAAAAATTGCAGACCAAAAAACCAGAAACTTGAAAGCTTTCAAAACAAAAATAAAAAAAAATGAGATTGTTCTTAAAACATCGAAAATTGAAAAATCTAGAAATAAAAAAAAAGAAAGAAAAATCCCAAAATCGAAAGAACATTGAAAAAACAAAATTGGAAAATCACAAATGGAAAAACTGAATAAATGAATAATTAAAAACGCAAAAGTCAAAAAATCAAAAAAAATCAAAATTTAAAAACCTGAAAAATCGAAAAATTAAAATATCTAGGAATTCAAAAATTGAAAAATTTAAACTCGTAAACTCGAAACATTTCAAAATAAAAATTGAAAATGTGAGAAACAGAAACCTTAAAGATTTAAAAATCGAGAAAAAAAAAATCAAAAAATTGAAAAATCGTAGAATCGAAAAAGTGAAGAAACAAAAAATTGAAAAACCGAAAAATTGAAAAATTGCAAACCAAAAAACCAGAAACTTGAAAGCTTTCAAAACATAAATAAAAAAAAAAATGAGATTGTTCTTAAAACATCGAAAATTGAAAAATCTAGAAATAAAAAAAAGAAAGAAAAATCCCAAAATCGAAAGAACATTGAAAAAACAAAATTGGAAAATCACAAATGGAAAAACTGAATAAATGAATAATTAAAAAAGCAAAAGTCAAAAAATCAAAAAATTCAAATTAAAAACCTGAAAAATCGAAAAATTAAAATATCTAGGAATTCAAAAATTGAAAAATTTAAACTCGTAAACTCGAAACATTTCAAAATAAAAATTGAAAATGTGAGAAACAGAAACCTTAAAGATTTAAAAATCGAGAAAAAAAATCAAAAATTGAAAAATCGTAGAATCGAAAAAGTGAAGAAACAAACAATTGAAAAATCGAAAAATTGAAAAATTGCAAACCAAAAAACCAGAAACTTGAAAGCTTTCAAAACAAAAAAAAAAAATGAAATTGTTTTTAAAACATCGAAAATTGAAAAATCTAGAACTAAAAAAAAAGAAAAATCCCAAAATCGAAAGAGCATTGAAAAACAAAATTGGAAAACCACAAATGGAAAAACTGAATAAATGAATAATTAAAAAATCAAAAGTCAAAAAATCAAAAAATTCAAAATTTAAAAACCTGAAAAATCGAAAAATTAAAATATCTAGGAATTCAAAAATTGAAAAATTTAAACTCGTAAACTCGAGACATTTCAAAATAAAAATTGAAAATGTGAGAAACAGAAACCTTAAAAATTTAAAAATCGAGAAAAAAAATCAAAAATTGAAAAATCGTAGAATCGAAAAAGTGAAGAAACAAAAAATTGAAAAACCGAAAAATTGAAAAATTGCAAACCAAAAAACCAGAAATTGAAAGCTTTCGAAACAAAAATAAAAAAAAAATGAGATTGTTCTTAAAACATCGAAAATTGAAAAATCTAGAAATAAAAAAAAAGAAAGAAAAATCCCAAAATCGAAAGAACATTGAAAAAACAAAATTGGAAAATCACAAATGGAAAAACTGAATAAATGAATAATTAAAAACGCAAAAGTCAAAAAATTAAAAAATTCAAAATTTAAAAACCGGAAAAATCGAAAAATTAAAATATCTAGGAATTCAAAAATTGAAAAATTTAAACTCGTAAGCTCGAAACATTTCAAAATAAAAATTGAAAATATGAGCAACAGAAACCTTAAAAATTTAAAAATCGAGAAAAAAAAATCAAAAATTGAAAAATCGTGGAATCCAAAAAGTGAAGAAACAAAAAATTGAAAAACCGAAAAATTGAAAAATTGCAGACCAAAAAACCAGAAACTTGAAAGCTTTCAAAACATAAATAAAAAAAAGAGATCGTTCTTAAAACATCGAAAATTGAAAAATCTAGAAATAAAAAAAAGAAAGAAAAATCCCAAAATCATTGAAAAAATAAAATTGGAAAATCACAAATGGAAAAACTGAATAAATGAATAATTAAAAACGCAAAAGTCAAAAAATCAAAAAATTCAAAATTTAAAAACCTGAAAAATCGAAAAATTAAAATATCTACGAATTCAAATATGAAAAATTTAAACTCGTAAACTCGAAACATTTCAAAATAAAAATTGAAAATATGAGCAACAGAAACCTTAAAAATTTAAAAATCGAGAAAAAAAATCAAAAATTGAAAAATCGTAGAATCCAAAAAGTGAAGAAACAAAAAATTGAAAAACCGAAAAATTGAAAAATTGCAAACCAAAAAACCAGAAACTTGAAAGCTTTCAAAACAAAAACAAAAAAATTGAGTTTTTTTTTAACTACAAACATTGAAAAATCTAGAAATAAAAAAAAAGAAAAATTCCAAAATCGAAAGAAATAAGAAATTGCAAATCGAAAAATTAAAGAAAGGAAGAATTAAAAAAATTAAGAGTGAAAAGTTGAAAAATTGAATCATTTTAAAATAAAAAAATTACAAATCGATGAAAAATAATGTTGGTAATGGAAAAATTGAAAAATCCAAAAGTAGAAAAATTCGAGAAACCGAAAAATGGAAAAATTAAAGTATTTGGAAATTAAAAAATCGAAAAATTGAAAAATTTAAATTGTAGGAAAATTTTAAAATCGACGAACTGTAACACTGAAACATCGAAAAATTGCAAATCGAAAAACTGAATAAACGAAAAATTAAAAAATCAAAAAAGTCAAATTTGAAAACTCGAAAAATTACAATTCGAATGAATGAAGAAACGAAAAATTGAAAAAAATCAAAAACTTGAATTGAAAATTGTAAAACTGCAGATCGAAAAACCGAAAATTCAAAAATCGAAAAATTGGAAAAATTAAAATATCTGGAAATTAAAAATTCGAAAAATTCAAAAATTCAAGCTGATAAATCTATAAAAGTGAAGAAGTGAAGAAAGGAAAATTGAAAAATCGACTAATTCAAAAATCAAAAAACTGCAAAATTATAAAATTTTAAAATTGAATAATCGGGAAATCGAAAAAGTGAAGAAACAAAACATTGAAAAACCGAAAAATTCAAGTTGAAAATTGAAAAATCGCAAACGAAAAAATCAGAAACTTGAATGTTTTCAAAACAAAAATCAAAAACTCCAGTTTTTTAAATCAAAAATTGATTTAAAAAACTGATTGATTTTCAAAAATTGATTTGAAAAATCTGGAAATTAAAAGAAAAAGTTTAAAATCGAAATATTAGAGAAAGAAAAACTGAAGAATCCAAAAGCACAAAATCGACGAATTAAAATTCAAGAAACCGAAAAATAGAAAAATTAAAATATTTTTGAAATTAAAAAATCGAAAAATTGAAAAATTGAAGCTGATAAATCAATAAATGTGAAGAATAAGTGAAGAAGAATTGAAAAATCGACTAATTCAAAAATCAAAATTATAAAATTTTAAAATTGAATATTAAAAACTTTTAAATTCGAAAAATTGAAAAAACGAAAAACTGTAAAATCGAAACACAGGAGAAATCGAGAAATTGTAACATTGAAACATGGAAAAATTGCAAATTGAAAAAATAAAAAATCAAAAAATTCAAATTTGAACAATCGAAAAAGTACAATTCGAATAAATG